TTTCTTACAGCTGCATAATGTTCCATTTTGTATTATCCACTCATCTATTGATGGATACTTAGGCAGCTTCCAGATCCTGGCAACTGTAAATAGTGCTGCTATGAACATTGGGGTAAAATATACACAAATTTTAAACATCCCACTTCTATGTTTAATACTTTCTCAATGGCTCATAATTTTACTTTTGATCATTAACTAAAGTATTTTAAATATTTCATTACAAATGAAATCTTAGTATCTAAAGAAAAGTAATTTATAGAAATGACATTTCTAAAAAATAATTTAAAACATACATATACACACACTTCTAGTATGCCTGGCATATACAGGATATTTAATAACTATTAAAGAGATTAATGAAAATAGCAGAAATTGGTCCTAGTTTTGGTGGACTGCCCCCCTAGATAACATATAGGCACAAAACAATGTATCTGATTTTTTTTCTAAAGGTATCAGTAGGAAGTCATTAAATGTAGGTTCATTGCAAAGGCCTCAGAAATAACATTTTAGAAAAAGAAAATCAAATTTTAGAGGTAAAATAACAAGGAAATCTTTTAGTTTTAATGTGAAACCACCTTAAGGGCTTTCATATCCTATAGGGACTACTTTTTATTTCTTTGCTGCTTAAGAGTGATAAGCTGTAGAAGCACTACAAAAAAGGAAATGAGCTGAGGTAAGCCAACGTCTAGCCCTGTAGAGCCTAGTTCTTTCAATTTAACAAACACTAACGAAATATCTGGTCTATGTTAGGCATTGATATAAGTTCTAAGGATAACTCATTTCATTCAGAATAAATGCTCATTTGCATCATTATTCCCTCTGACTGGATGCTCTTGTTCCAGATATCCACATAGCTAACTAACCTCCTCGCCTCCTCTGCTTCTGTTCAAAATGTTACCATCGAACCAAGCTACCCTAGTCATTCCATTAAAAATTTCATCCCAGTCCTTACTTCCAGTACTCCTGATTCCTTTACTCTGATTTAATTTTCTTTTTCCCTTAGCACTTACTATACTATGACAACTATGTAACTTTCTATTTATGTATATATTTATCATCTGACTCCCTTAGTTACAATGCATACTCAAAAAGGGCATGGGTTTTTTGCATATTCTATTTATTGATATATGTCATGCCTAGAACTATGCCTGGCACACAATGAATATTCAATAACTATCAGTCAAATAGATAAACAAGCTTTCTTAAACACTTGCCACAATCTAGACATTGTCCAGAAGAATCCACAGAGTCAGGAAACAGCTACAAAAGCAATCACCTATATCACAATGGGTACAGTACAAGGTTAGAAAATGGTGAATTCTAGATGAGGATTAAAATAAGTACACTGACTATATTTTCAAAAATCTTACCAGTGAAGAGAAGGTAAGTTCCAGAGGTATCAAGTCCAGGACTATTAGTCAGTGAGGAGAGACTGTACATTCATTAACAGAATATCTGAAGTTTCCAGTATATGTAGGAAAGCAGTAGTTTCAAAATAAATAAAAACCACTTGCTATATAAATTTACAATATTAGTCCACATTAAATATCTGTTCAATATTTTAATTTCTACCCACTCTTCAATGTAACCTCTTTATTTATATCAACTTCCCTAATTTTCCAATGTTCACAAATATAGCATTAGTTGAACACAGAGTGAAACTGCAAATCTTGCAAATTATGGTTTTATGAAGTCTATGAAAGTAGGATAAAAATATAAGAACATAATTAATTTCTAATTGAGGTGGCCAGGATAGACCAATAAAGATTAGAACATGAAAGAAGATTCAAAGATAATGAATAGAATATTTGGCAAAGATTAATAAAAATCCTTAGGGAATTTGATTAAGTCCTCAAAATTTGCAAAAAGAATACTTTTCTTCTTAATCCTATTGAAAGAGATAAATATGAAATAAAGGATGTCATATTGTGCTATAATTTTGCCAGAGAAAATACGTAAAAAAATCATTATTTAATTATCAATTCTATTAATTAGCTTATAGTTGAAATTAGATAGTAAATTTTGTTGACGATTTCAGGTTTCATGTTTCAACATAAAGGGCTAATCAAACTTCTCCCTCTTTTTCATACACATACACACATACACACAACTACCACCACCAACACCATCAACATAGCTCCTTTTCTAGACACTGCATACTTAAACAGGTCACTTTAAGTGGTCTTTTTTGAGTACCTTCTGTTCTCTTTGAGAATAAACAGACAATGAAGAGGGAAAGATGGAAAATAAATAGAAAAGAAAGAGGATGATTTTCACAGCAAAGCCCTAGTAGAAAGACTGGATTAATGTCTGTTTAATAAGAGTTAAGCTTTTAGCCCTGGCCCGGTTGCTCAGTTAGTTGTAGTGTCCAGTAACCAAATGGTTTCTGGTTCAATCCCTGGTTGGAGTGTGTACGGTAAGCAACCAGTAGCTGTTTCTCTCTCTCTCTCTCCTTCCTGCCCCTGCCTCTCTGTCTAAAAAATCAATAAAAACATATCTTTGGGTGAGGATTTAAAAAAAGTCATGCTTTTTAATAAACAAAACACAGAAAATAAATAACTATATATGATACATTCAGCTGAGAAAGAAAAGCTTAATTAGAATCTCTGACAAAAAGTGCAATTGGTCACTTGGACCACAAGATGGAGGCACCAGTGACCTGAAAGGCAATAAAGATGAATGGAAAGAAACAGCTTCTTCAGTGTTAAAACTACAAAACTAATTTTTTTTTACAACTGTATATATTCCTAAGTAATTTTGTAAAAATGGAAATTTATTCTAACAATCAAATAGTGAAGTCTGCAATATGGTTCTGAAGATACTTCTCTACCCAAACCCATTCAATTGTCAACCCTCAAAAGCAAGCACGTCAATTCGATTTTGTAATTCTTGCAGAGTGACTAACACTTAGAAAATCTTCAAACAGCAACAGAAATGAATTGTTAAACTGAGCAGTACTTTGAAAAGCCAGAGGGCTAAGTAATAAAAGTAACAGTTTTACCTGATTTACACTGATGCAGAGAAACTGGGTTCTACATAAATACAAATGGATTATATCACTAAATGACCTTGATAAATCAACACCTGATCTATTATTTTTCTCATTTGTTATAAGTCTTCTACCAATATAGTGAACATGACAAGTGCTAGGAATAGTGTCTAATTCACATTATTTAATAATTATTATCATTCTTGTCATTATTGGCATTACTATTCTTTAATGTAAAGCAATTATAAAATACTCAAAGCAAAAGAGGACAAGTCCCATTTTTCTCTCACATGAAATATTTTCAGCTTCACTTAGAAATAGATGTATAACATAGCTTAGTCACTCATTATTAGTTTTCATTTCTTCTCAAAAGGCCCCATATTTCCTTGATAGAGAAAGGCAGAATTCAAGATTAAGGTTCCTTACATTCATTTTAAAGCCAGTATAAAGGATTGACATGCTTGACTGTGAACACATTTCACCCTCCTGTTTTTCTCTTGGATGAAAGTATGACACAGATGTGGTTCTACTGGTGTAAGATAGTAATGCAATCAAGAGCTACAGGGATTTGTTAGCTTCACCAAAATACAACTGTTTAAGTACATACAGGCATACACACACGAATTAAGGAAATTCAGTAAGCAACTGAAATAGTCTCAGAGGAAAACACTATTAAGATATGAAATTTAAAAATGAAGATCAGAAAATTAAAAGTCCAATCTTAAGACAATTCTGAAACCACCTGTATAAAAAGTTTATAATTAATTGATAGTCAACAATGTATTTTAAAGAAAGCTCAACTTTTTCTAGATGCCCCTAAATAAAAGGCATGTTTTAACTAAAATCATAAAATATTTTAGGATAGTCTATCAATTTGATGACATCCATAGTGATGACTGTATGAGCACTAAAAACTCAAGACAGAATATTACTTACTCTTGGAAAAATTATATGTATTATTTTTAAATTATTGGTAAATTCTTCAAAATATACTAGGAATAAATCATAGTGTCATTTTAAAATTCTTGTCTTAAGAGTTAGCAATTTATAAAGAAGTCATGCAGGGTTTAGTTGGAGGAAAATATAAATGTAATTATTTAAGAGAAAAGATTCTGCTCTCAAATCAGCTCAAAGAAAAATATTTAATAACCTGACAACCTACAATTTTTTAAACAATGCTGCCATCTGCTGGAAAAATCTAAAATGCCTTCATTATTTCCCATATGTTGGAGTATCATGTTCGATTGAGCAATATCTTGCTCTTCCAATTACCTGCTGAAACAAGACACACCATCTTAATAATTTTGACCATTTAATTTGTCTGGTTCTTTGTTTTTTAAAGCTTCTCGTTTTTTAAAAATATGTTTTATTGATTTTTTAGAGAGAAAGGAAGGGAGAGAGAGAGAGAAACATAAATGAGACACATCTATCAGCTGCCTCTTGCATGCCCCCTACTGGGAATAGAGCCTACAATCCTGGCATGTGCCCTGACTGGGAATCAAACCACCTCTTGGTACATGAGTGGATGTTCACCCATTGAGCCACACCGGCTGGGCTAAATTGTCTGATTCTTAATAACTATGTCTTAATTGAATACTAATTCATTAAAGATTTAGTACATTTAAATACTAAATACAAATAGGGTGAGGTGACATCAACAAAAACAATGCAGCTCTAAACTACATATAACAGTGGATGCAGGTTTTGAATTATCAGATGATATGTTCATCCTGAAAGATAAAAAACTAGATTGGGTATCTTAACAGAAGTTTGATGCTAGCAATAAAACTAAACTTAGAAGGTCACTGACTAAGCTAAATCCAAACAGGAACCACAATAGAAAAGTTTTAGAAGAGACACTCATTTCTAATTAGAATATTTTAGTCTCTCAAGAATAATTTGGGGCCAGGCCAGGAGGCCGGGAATGTCCCGGCCCTGGCTCATTGAGGCGCGCTGTGCTGCGCCGGGCTCAGCTGGTATCTGCAGGCCCTGAAGCTCGCAGCATTCCGAAATGGCCGAGCTGTCGGACAAGGCTGTCGAGTACTACACCCTGGAGGAGATCCAGAAGCACAACCGCAGCAAGAGCACCTGGCTGATCCTGCACCACAAGGTGTATGATGTGACCAAATTTTTGGAGGAAAATACTGGTGGGGAAGAAGTCTTACGGGAACAAGCTAGGGGAGATGCTACAGAAAACTTTGAGGATGTCGGGCACTCGTCGGATGCTAGAGAACAGTCCAAAACATGTATCATCGGACAGCTGCATCCAGATGACAGATCAAAGATAACCAAGCCTTCGGAAACTCTCATTACTACGGTTGATTCAAATTCGAGCTGGGGGACCAACTGGGTGATCCCAGCCATCTCCGTCCTGGCCATGGCCCTGATGTACCACTTCTACATGGGGGAAGACTAACCACCTTCCTGGAGCCAATGGAAGAAAAGACTGCTTTCAGCTGGGAAGAAAGAAGCCAGTGTCAGTTGTTTGGTCGGACAGAAACCTTCGCCTGAAAAGTAACTTTAATACACCTGTTCCCCTTTCCTTTTAGGTTAGAAACGAACCAAACCAAAAAGAACCTTTCTGTCCTGTCCACTCTCGAATTCCCACAGTGTGCCTTTTTTCTCATCCACTTTCCTCCAGCATTCCCTGGTGACATGTTCTACTTATTGTGGGTGTGGTCTTTCAAAAATACACCTGGCTTTCCAAATATATATATAAAAAAAGAATAATTTGGCTTATTTACCATAAATAAAAATGTACCTTGCCCTGGCTGGTGTGGCTCAGTTGGTTGGAGCATTGTCCCTTACACCAAAGGTTGCAGGTTCAATTTCTGGTCAAGGCACATACCTAGGTTTTGGGTTCGATCCCCAGTCAAGGTGCATACATGAGGCAACCAATCAATGTTTCTCTCTCTCTCCTTCCCCTTCCCCTGTCTCTAAAATATCAATAAAAAATCATATCCTCAGGTGAGAAAAAAAAATGTGTGTGTGTGTGTATCTTAATCACCTGCTTTAAGATTTTTAAAAGTACTTTATTATTCCTGTGTTTTAAAATTTTTTTGTTTTGTTTTTATAAGTCTGAGTCCATAAATATCTCAATTTATTTAACAGCTCTTTTGTGAGTACCTGTACTCAAGCACATATATTTGACTTGCATTTAAGTACTCAAAAATGAAAGAGTCACCCATATTTAAGATAAGGATAATAATCCCTAGTTATACAGTTGTCGTAAAGACATGAAATAATCAGAGTTCACACTTAATGAATTTTTTTCACACTTAATGCTATTTTTCATTAACATAAGCTTTACTAAAAAGATTGGAGGATATATTGAGAACAAAATGGAGAAGAAATATATTTCTAATCTGTTATAAATTAAATATGTAAACTTCAGTTTAAAATAGCCATTCATTCATGTTTACCTTACTTATGTTCCCAAATCCTACTGAATTCATTAGAGAATATGTAGCTATCCTGGAAAACAAATAACGGTACTAATAGGCCAGAAACTGAGGCCAATAGATCCAAAAAACAAAAAGTGGATATGTTTTGCATAAAGCAGTGCTGAATAAATATTTGGCACATGAGAAAATCAATAAATAATACAAGATGAGATGGAAGGCACATTCAGCAGTGCTGACTGGCCTGTGAATCAGCACAGGCATAAAGGCCACACTGAAAAGAATCTATATGGGATTCTCGAAAAGAAATACTGAGAAAATCCTAAGCTTAGAGCAACAGGACTGAGAGCAAGGGGTAAATAAGTGGTAAGTCAAGTCAAAACAATTTGGAAATGCCACCAATGCTCCCACAGGGAGTTCTGGTTATCACTAATGTGAGCAGCTTGTAAGATGTCACAAAATAAGGTTAAAAACAAAAACAAAAACCTCTTTTAACAATAGCATGTGCTATTGTTATATCATAAGTGTCCCAATGATCTCCTTCCCCCTTTCTCATAGGCAACTACAACTCTGACTATATACTGACACTCTTAAGATTCCCACTTGCAGAGGCTGAGGGTGCAGGCATCCTAAGTACTGAGTACAGTTCTCCCAGAGAAATTCTATCAGAGCCCTGTAGGAAGACACAGGCTGTAGCATTCACTCAGATCTCACTTGATAAAAATAGTCAATTTCAAGTAAAATGAAGGTTGGGCTGCACAAGACATCGAAGGAGGGTAGTCAAGAAAAAGAAAACACAGATAACAGAAACACAAAAAACAAGATGACTGAAGTAAGACTACATTTACCACTTATTACAACAAATATGAATGGGTTAATGCCATTATATTTTTTTAAAGCAGTGCCCTGGCTGGGTAGCTCAGTTGGTTAGAGTGTCATCCCCAACAAGCCAAGGTTGCGGATCCCCAGTTAGGGCACATACAAGAATCAACCAATGAATGCATAAGTAAGTGAAACAACAAATTGATGTTTCTTTCCTTCTCTCTCTAAAATCAATAAATAAAAAACTTTAAAACAATAAGTAGCTTTTTTGCAATACCCACTCATAAAAAAGCACAGGCTTATGTATGGGAGAAGAGGAATCAACAATAAAGAGAGAACTATAAATTACAAGAGGCTTAAAAACATTAGCAATCAAAATATAAAAACTTTGTTTGGAACTCAACTTATACAAACTGCAAAAATAAGTAAATAAATAAGAGCATTGTGGGACAACCAGGGAAATGAGAAGGGCAGGATATTTGGTGATATTAAGTAATTGTTGATTTCTGTATGTGATGATGATATTATTGCATATTTAAAAACAGGAGTCTTTGTGTTTAAGTGACATATAATGAAATGTTTATAGGTAAAATGACATGATATTTAGTATTTGCTACAAAATAAGAGGAGAGATGAATGAGCAGTAAACAAAATTTAGCCATGAGTTGATAACTGTTGAAAGTAATTAATAGATACATGGAGGTTTGCTTTATAATTCTCTCTACTTTTAATGTTTAAAATATTTCATAATTCAATAATTAAAAATAAATAAATAAAATAGAATTTATTCTCAAGTTAGAACAAAAGGTAAAATCCAACTAATATTTGTTTTGCTTTGTTTTTAAAAAGGCGGTGCACAGTAAGGGGATAAAATAACCTTCAATTTTAAACAAAATTCAATTTTAGACTGAGAAATTTCAATATTAAAACACACCTTTAAATTTTGGTTTATACCTCTTCTGACTTGGCTTCCACATTGGAAGGCCAGCTTTTCTTTTTTGTTTTTTAAATTAAAAAAAGCATGAAATATAAAATTCAGAAGTGCTCTTATAAGTAATGTGTTTAGCACAATGATAATTCAAATATATGTGAGTCTAAATGTATTCATATAAATATAGAAAATATAATTTGGCAGTAAGTGTTTTCGTGAAAATCAGCGCAAATTTTGCTCGCAATGTTTATAAATGCATGACAATGCTTCATTAAAAAACTGAGAGAGCAAAATAAAAAATATATTTTAGAATATAAAATTTTCTAAGAAAATGTTGAAGTTAAAAAGAGATTTCATATTTAAAAAATGAACAGTTAAAAATCACTGCTAGCCTAGTGTAAACAATTCACTATGCAAGAAGCCCTAATGAAGGTTATACAGTTTTAAAAAATATATTCCAAAAGTAAATCTGTCTTGTTTGATGAAACATTCATCCTGCATTTTAAAAGCAGGCATTACCCTGGCTTGGTGCTCAGTTGTTTGGAGCATCCTCCCCTACACCAAAAGGTTTCAGGTTTGATTCCCAGGGCATATACCTAGGTTGTTAATCTCTCACACTGGTGTGTGTGTGTGTGTGTGTGTGTGTGCGCGCGCGCACGCGCCCATGCGCCTCCTTTCCCCCCTCCCTTCCTCTCTTTTGGAAATCAATAGAAACATGTCCTCAGGTGAGGATAAAAATGAATACATAAATAAATAAAAGCAGGCATCACTGTTACTTTCTATCCACTGCTATCTCTGCCTTTCCACTAACAGATTCCACTTTGGGAACATCAACTTTAGCTTACTATTATGAAAAGTAACAGTAAAATACTACTTAGCAATTAAAAGAAACAACTACTGACATGTGGATGAAATTGAACTGCATTGTGCTATGTGAAATAAGCTAGACTCAAAAGATTACACCTGTATAATTCCATTTATATGACACTCTAAACTACAGGGACATAAAACGGATCAGTGGTTGCCAAGCTCTGGATATGGGTGAGGGAATGAAACACTAAGGTGTAGGAAGGAATTTGTGGGTGGGTGAAGGAACTGTTTAATATCATAATTGTGGTGATAGTTGCATGACTCTAAGCATGTTTCAAAAAAAATCACAAAACCATACACCAAAAAGTATGAATGTTACTTAATGTAAATTATGCTTCAATTAAAAGTTAATCTGGCCCTGGCCAGCGGTTGGAGAGTCGACCTGCGGTCCAGAGAGACACAGGTTCGGTTCCCGCTTAAGGGCATGTACCTGGGTTGCAGTTTGTCCCTGGCCGGGTCGTGTAGGTGGCAACCACTCGATGTGTCCCTTTCACGTTGATGTTTCTCTCTCTCCCTCCCTCCCTCCCACTCTATCTGAACAAAATATTGAAAAATGACCTCGGTGAGAAAAAAAAAAAGTTAATCTGATGTTTTGCATATTTTAAATGCTACTGATAACTTATGGGAAAGAAATATCTTTCTCTCTGCTTGAAATCTGCCAAGAAATACTTCACCACCATGATAGGTTCTTTGTGGACTTCTTTAAAAAAGACATTCCTTTCCCTGACAGAGTTCATTAGGGAAACATCTAAAATATTAAACTAAATTACAGAAAAAGGATAGGCAAACAATTTTGAGTGATAAATCACAGAATACACTTTATATGTGTTCTAGGAGGAAGGAAGTATTTCCCTTTGTCAAGAGTTACAGAAATGAATGGAACACAATTTTGGATAAATCTTACTGCTTCTCAACATAATGGTTATTATTATCACCTCTAACTTTCAAGTGAGGAGGTTGAGACTTGGGGAGAACAAATCCTCTCTCTGTGATCCCTCAACTATTAAATGTCAAGCTGAAATTTTAAACCAAGCCTTTCTGACTCCAAAGCCAGAGACCTTTTGCATCGCAGTGTGGAACTGACACATAAGAGGTTATGACTACTGCTGTGTGGTGTGATTTCAACGGGCTGGAACGCCCCCTAATTCCTCAAACTTCACTACGTACTTCTCACGAATTCTACACAGAAATACCACGATTTAGAGCGTGTACTGTAAAGGAAGCTCAACAGGCTCTTGGAGTGAAAACTCGTGAAAAGTAACATGGAGATCTTTCTTCCACATGGTTATACTTCTTATGGGTTTTGGTCGCAAGGAAGGTGATGCACGGGGCCAGTCCGGAGCTACTGACAAAAGTCAACGCCAAGGAAGACAAAAGCAGGGGCGCTTAAGATACTTCTCTTCAACTATACCGACTCCGGCCAGGTCACAAGCGGGGCCGAAGACGAAAAAAGGCCACTTTCCTTCCCATCGGAGGACTTTTGGTAAAAGACCTCCGTTGACTGGTCCCCGTCTGCGTCGCCCAGTGACAAGGACCAACACTGGGGCGTCGGGCGCCCCGCGTGGCTCCCGGCGCCGGGAGGAGACGGGTGTGTGCCGAGCTGGCGCGGGCCGCGGCCGGGCGCACCGACCTAGGCGCTGCGGCGCACGGACTGCGGGCACACGCCGCCGGGCCGCGGGGAGGCGCTCAGCAAAAGCCATCAAGGTGAAGAGGTGGCGGGGCGCACGAACTCGAATTGTCCCCTCAAGGTGACAGCACATGTGTCGCACGTTGCATTTGTTTACGAGACGCTCTTACTTTCCCCCCATTTACTGACCGCGCCACCGCTGCCCTCGCTGTCATCTCACCTCTCCAGTTCTTGTACGCCGGGATATAGTAGTATTTGTTCCCGAACTGGTCTGTGCCCACTAGCTCCTTCACTTCCTTGGACAGCGCTCTCCACAGGGTGCGGAACAAACCCTGAGACCAACCCATGCCAGCGGACGTCCAGATCCGAGCGTGAGTAGCTGCCGTATCTGCTTCGACAGAAACACGAACGCCCCAGGCGCAGAGTCAGCCCACCAACCCCAGGGAATCCCACCTGCCTCCTTGATCACGCCCTTTCAGTAACGGCGCTCACCATTGGTCAGATGGCATCAGAACTCTACCAATGGGAGACTCCGCTGTTAGAGCCCCGCCTCCGAGCTCTGTCATGGCAGCGTCCAGTGTTCCGTCCAGTGCTCCATCCAGTGTGGAGGAACGGGATGCTAGGGTTTTTGTTGGCGCGACAAGCCGGATTGGACGACCCTCTTCGCCTACAAAGAGCGGAGTGCACACGAAGGTATAGAAAACATTATTCTTTTCTCTAACAAGCCAGTTAAAATTTGGACCAGTGGCAGTGTTACCCTTGCTTGGCTCACACTTTACCGCCTTATTGTCACTTTCCTGCCTCATCGTCACTTTCCTCTCACCAAACTCGGCTTTACTCTTCTTTTGGAGCATGTACCAAAACTCTTTGTATGTATATGCATATACCTAGCATATATAAAAATTCCAGACCCAGAAGGAAAGCAGGTATTCAACGTAAAGCATATTGTTTGTTCCAAGTACTTTACACAGTGAACTCTTCTAATCCACTAATGATGCATAAAAATGAAATCCCGGAAACGAGTCAAGGGCCAGTCTTGCATGCAGGCCTTTCTAAGGATAGCAGTTTCAGGCCTGGTATATTAACTTTTTTTGCACACCTTGCCTCCTTCCACACACACCTCACCCGTTTACCTATCTTACTACCCTCCCTCTTTCTCTTCATCTTAACACCACCCCGCCCTCCTCTAGTTCCCAAACAATTCAGTCCTAAAGTCTTTAGGTTGGGCAGAGGTAGGCTTCCAAACATGGATTAGGTTGGCCCTGAGTGATATTTCAGAGCCTGAGCAAGTTGAGGAGGTCATCTAAGTGTGGGGACTGATAAACCCAAGGTGATAGGAATGTTGGGGGAGACGAAAATCAAAGTCCAAGCCTAATGAGTAGCATCCTTGTTGGGGGAGGGGATGGTAGTGGCGATTAGTTATACACAGGGGCATTGGTCAAATAAGTAAATACATTAATGTTAATAAAAGTCACGTTTCTCATTGTTAGAAGAGAACTCAAGGAAGGGATGATTACCTTTGCACATTTTTTTTTATATTATTTTTGTTACAAGAAGTATATATTACTGTTATAATTTGAATAATCACCAAATGGAAAAATAGTTTAAGAAGAAATGGAACTGCAATCGAAAAAAGGGAAGAAACCATTTTCTGATGGAATATTGAATCTCAGAATTGTCAGGACAGTATAGTGATCCGAGGGAAAAAATATCATAGTTCAGATGCAGAGCAGCCAATTATTAGATGAATGACCTTGAGCAGATAAACTTAAGTATTTTATATTCAGGAAAATCATGTAATAATATAACCTACTATCTAGGAAATCTGCCACTTAGAATTACCACTTAATACACTTATTATTACCACTGATTACAATTTCAGCAAATAGTAGTAGGCTCTTTAATATGAACTGTTATTGTTATTGAACAAGGTCAGAGAAGTACTGAGTGAACCTAAGGCTAAACTGTCTTCCAGAACACAGTGCCATGTATATCTTTAAATCAACTTGCTACTGCTAAAATACTTTTAATTATCAGTACTGCTACTGTCAGTGTGTGAAAATATCAGTTTGAACCTTTCCTAGCACTGTGCATTGTTTGAAAAAGCAGATTAATTTGTTGGCCTAAAAATTTTATATAAATTAGCATCATATTGATCAGTAATGAATTTAGAAATCATTCTGGTTAAATTAATGTAAATCATTTTTAACATCCAAAAAATTGAGACAAATTTTAATAGTTAATATTCAGTAGGTACTTAATATATCTAGGCATTGTAATGAGCATTTTTAAATGTATTAACTAATTTAATTTTAATACCCTGATCAGAATAATAATAGTTTATAGTTATGGAATATCAGAGATTTCACTATCTTAATCTATGAGAGCAGTTTATAATCTTTTGTTTGTAAATATTTAATTGGCTTTATTGAAATGTGCCTAAATGTTGAGTTGAACATACTCATTTTGTATTTACACCTAAGGCATAAGAAATACTCCTGGGAATTTATTTAAAATACTGTAATTTAAGTTTTGTCCACTAGGTGTCCTCAGTTAAATTTAAGTTGTCAATTTATCTTAAAAACTTAAAAAATATACTCTTTAAATTAATTTTAAGATACTTTAGGAGAAATTATTTGCATGTAATTGTTAGTATTGTTGATATTTTAAAAATTTGTGTAAGGTCTTTAAAATCCATAAAAGCCTTTGGAAGCTTGGTAGAAAGAGACATAAGCATTACTTGCGATTTTTTAAAAATCCTCCCCTGAGGATATGTTTTTATTGATTTTAGAGAGCTAGGAAGGGAGAGAGAGAGAGAAGGAGAGACATGGATGTGAGAGAGAAACATCGATCGGTTGCCTCCTGTATGTGCCCCGATCGAACCCTCAACTTAGGTATATACCTTGATGGGAATGAACTTGAAACCTTTTTGGTGTACAAGAGAACACTCCAACCAACTGAACTACCCACCCAATTTTTGTATTATATATAATCTTAGGAAGATATGGACATTATTTACATTTAAATTACTTTCTTATTGTTTAGTTTTATCTTTTTCTCCCCTTGTTTAATTTTTATATATTTTTTAAGGGTTTTGGGACTGGAGTTAAACAAAGACAGAGATGTTGAAAGGATCCATGGCAATGGAGTTAACACCCTGGACATTGAACCTGTTGAAGGGAGATAGTAAGTTGATACATTTTTCTTTCTAAGTGAGAAGCAGTAAACTCTTGTTTTCAGATTAATTATGTAAAGGTTCATAAATATTTGTAAACTATAGCATTTTTAATATGGTATTATTAATTTCAAATAAATACAGAACTTCATACCTATAAAATGTTGTCAGATATTTCCAAACTACTTTAATATAAATATATTCATTGTTAACTCCGAAGGCTTTAAAGTGCTGGGGTGTGTAACCGTACATGCTATTTTAAAACATAGTTGCTGCTTTCAAGAGACTAATGGGGAAAAATATTAAAAAGCAAAAGTATACTTTAGAGCATTAAATTTGAAGCAAACCAGACTTGTATTTGCGTTCCCCCTGGTTTTACCACTTGTCAGCTGTGTGACCATGAGCAATTTATCTAACTTTTCTAATTCTTAGTTGCCTTAGCTATACAATGGGAATAATAATACCAACAAGTTTGTTGTGAAGATTCATTGAGATTATATGTATAACATGATTAGCATAGGACCTGCATATCATTACTGGTTGCTACTACTCCACTTAATCAAAAGCATTATTACCTATACTTTTACACCATTCAGTCCATTTCCCACATAACAGTTGAAGTGCTTGGAAAAATACAAATCTGAACATGTTATCACCCCACTTAAAGCTCATCTTGACCCCCACATGACTTTACAAGGAAGTTCAAAACTCTTCATGTAGTCTATTAATTAAAACAAGTGTAGAAGTAACTAAAGAAAAGTTTTTTGTATCATATGTTTAGCATTCACCCCACAATTTTTCTTTTATAATAAACTATCATTATTATTAATATTATTATTATTAACATTAACATAAGTCAAGAAAGATTTGATAGAATTTCATTTTTGTTTCCAGCTTCTATCGTAGCATATGAGAAACATGAACAATGAATAAATCCTCATTTTTAACACATGGTTAAATCTAAAAGATGACCAGTGATAAATCTTTTCTTTTTTCTGACCTTTTCCAGGCTTAATATAACATCTCCCATTCAAGGATAGCTGTGGGGCATTTGCTTATAAAAGAATGCAGATATGAACAACTAATTTCTTTTAGTCTTGGATTCTGGTGAAAAAAATATTTAGTACAGGTTCTCTAGCCACCCATTTGGGATAATGATCAGTTGTTTGATCTGTGAAATACATGAAGCCAATAGGCTACCACTTGGAAGAGTCATTGAGAAATTTAATAAATTACAGATTATATGTATATGAAATAATGTGTGAAAAATATAGGTTGAGGAGTCTTTTGCAGAGCATATAGAGAAAAGTCAGGATTGTCACTGCTATAGTTTCCCTCTTTATTGCGTGGTAAAAATGTACAAATATTTATTTCATTGTTTGCTAAGACTTGTATTTTGCATTAAACCCTTTTGGCAGCAAAGAGAGAAATAAAAAGAACATTTTATATTTAATGGAAAATTAAATATTTTCTTTTTTAAAATATGTTTTTATTGAATTTTTTTAGCGAGAGAGAGATAGAAACATCAATGTGAGAGAGATACATTGATTGACTGTCTCCTGCACACTCCCAACTGGGGATCGAGCATGCAACCTGGCCAGGTGCCCTGACTGGGAATGGAACCCGGACCTCTCAGTCTATGGGACCATACTCAATCCATTGAGCCACACTAGCTGGATGTGACTTTCCTTTTCTTAAGAAAGTCAATGCACATAAAACTTGCTCTAAATACTTTTAATATTTACCAACCACCATGACAGCTGTAAAGAATTCACTGAAAACCAGAATGGAAACCAGAATACACAAATCTGGTTTAAAGAAAGCATTTATTTCCACAGTTAGGAGTTATTTTAAGAAGTCAGTCTGAAAATAACATTTTAATTGGTGTAATTGCATAGAGTACATATTTGCATATCATTCTATAAAGCTTTTTTTATACCTTCTCAATTCTTCTAATTAATTTTTATTTATCTTTAATACCAGGTTACCTCATTTATATAAAAATATGAAGCCATATCTCTTACTGTGTTTGCTCTATTACAGAATAATAATCTCAAAGTTAAATAATGTCAGTGTCATTATATACTTCAAATACAGTCGATGCCAATAATGGTTCAGTTTTTCATACAATTAATGGATCCAAGGAAAGCTTTTGGAAGTCATTCTAGCAAAGATGAAACATTTGGCATTACTGGAAATATGATTTAAATTCAGTTTAAGAGTTCAACTTTGAAACATTTGTTTATTTTTGTTTTGACAGAACATGTAGTACTGGGGTAAAAAAATATTTCACAAAGTTCAAATATAAAGCATAAATGTTTTTGAAATTGGTTGTGGTACACATGTAACTCACATCTGTGTCCAAACAACCTATAGCATTTTGTAAACCAAAATAAAAGTTGTAGTTGTTTAAGTTTACAAATATTTCTCTAGATACATAATTAGAGTAACAACTGCAAATGTAATGAAGCTAACGAATATAAAATAAACTAAATTCAGCATGGCTTCACTTGCTGTCTTTCTTTATTGCCCCTCATTAGTTGGACTTTAGAACTTTTTCAGCAAAGAACTTGGAAGAACTACTTTTAAATTAACCTAATTGTTCTACAAATTGGTATTGAATTTTTTATTAAAGCAAGTCTGTAAATCAGTGCTGCTTCGACATGCTGCTATTTCATTAACCCTTTGAAACTAGTTCACAACAAGATAAGGAGCTTGTACCAGAATATAAATCTACTACATCACTAAATACACAGATTACATGAGCTGAGATTTTTTTTTTTTTTTTGGCAGTAAGACTTTCTCAGTGAAGAAAAAAGTGTGTTTATTTCAGGCACAAGCTCTTTATCTTGTCCTGGACATGTACTTTAAATAGCAAAGAAACTAAAGATAGCAAGATCAAAACCAAAGTATAACACTTCTAGGAAGTATAGGTGATGAAGTATCCTCACAAACCATAAAATGTGGATGAGTAGAAATGAACTGATAACTGCAAGACCTATGTAGTATCAGCATCTGTACCAGGGAAGGCAATGAAAAGTAATGGGGCATCAGATAGACCTGATAACTCTGAAATAACCAACGGTTAGTTAAAAACTCAAGTCCATTTAGCTACAGCAGCTGAAACTGGGAGATGATGGCATATTCTGATTGTTCAAGGTGTTCACAGTAAGACCTGTGGGGTTGGAGCATTCTTGGCTTTATAATCTCTCCAGCTAATCAACTAAAGATACCCTCTAGGGAGGAATAGAATAGAATGGAGTGGAGTGGAGTGGAGTTGAGTGGAATGGAAACAATGTAATATAGGGACAATAGAACAAATGAAAAAGATAAATGCTGGGAGGGTAAACAGAATCAGGAAATCTCTCAAAGTGAGCTGCCATATTTTGAACTTCTTACAAAAAAAGAAAAAAAGTTCGAGAGATATAAAATGTAAATATTCTGAACCAAGTCTCCCTTTTAAAAGTTTAAGAAAATTAATTTTACATAAAAACAAGTAAAAGAATAGGACTGAAGTCAAATTACATACAAAATTATTATAAGAACAAGAGAATAAGTAGAGTACCTATGTACCTGTAGACCACAAAGTTGTGCCAGAAAGATATGCCAACAAAGTAGATGAGGACTTTAACCTAATATTTCTAAACTAGCTAAATGTCATTTTAAAAATGTACAGTATATGAAAGAATGACATAAGTTGTAATTAGAAAAACTCAAATGAGATGTTCAAACTCAAGAAAAAATTAGAAATAAAGGAAAAATGTTTCAGAAATGTAGACTAAAGCATAGGGCACACAAGCAAATAAATACAAGAAATAATGCCTTAGGTGAAAGTGAAAAGGAGAAATTTTTAAAAAGAAATTGAGCCCTGGCCAGTTTGGCTCAGCAGTTGGAGCATTGGCCTGTGGTCCGGAGAGACCCAGGTTCGGTTCCCAGGACCATAGTAATAGCTGGTCTGTCTAATTCCATTTCTATTTAGCACAATTATAATTAGGACATTTTAAATTACTTTGTAATATTTTACTTTCTAGTAAGAAATAACTTTTGCCATTGTGTTTTCATTGTCATTTCTTTGTGGTATCATGAAGGTAAATTTTAAATGATCACATATTGAATCTTTTCATATTAATTCTACAGATATTAGATTAAGAAAATTTAGTTTATTGAAGTCTGTATTAATTTTTACTTGGTATTTGTGGGCATAATACTTTTGGGTGTTTAAAAATCAGTAATTTTCAGATGTAATCATAAGTAAATGAACTACATAAAATGATAAATTAATGTTAACTTTTTTATTATTAGCATGTTATCAGGTGGTTCAGATGGTGTGATTGTACTTTATGATCTTGAGAACTCCAGCAGACAACCTTATTACACATGTAAAGCAGTGTGTTCTGTTGACAGGTGTGTATTAAAAATGTAATTCATCAATGTATAAAGAGTTGAGTTTTTTTGCATCAAATGCACACTATGAAAATAGCAGTCATATGAATGTCTCAAGCAACTTGTTCACATGATATATTTACATAGATATTTTATGTTTTCTTAAAGAATAATAACTAAAGTCAGGTGTAGCTGTTTTTAATGTGACATTCCCAAAACAACTTTAGCATGAGCTTTAAAAGTGATTTTATTTAAAAAGTTTTGATTATATACTTTCTGTTCTACATAGCACACCTCAGAGACCTATTAGTTTTTAGTACCACTTAGTGTAAGATTCATTTATGAGTCTTTTAGCCAATTACAAACACAAATTAGATTTTTCAGTTGATATTAATAGAACAAAAAGATTAATGGCTAGAAGCAGCAAATATCCTGGCAATCCCTCACCAGACATACACTAGCACACACAGCCCTTTTACCTCTCTACTTACTGAAAGCATCCTAACTTAAAAACATATCTTTTTCTTGAGTTTTCTGACTATTCTTTTCTGTCTTTCCAGTCTTGTGAGAATTATTTTTCAGTCTTTAATAAAATGTTTTGTGGTTTTGTTGTAATTTGTTCATAATGCTCACTTAATTCTTGTCACCTGTATCTGATCTGATATTGAGCAGACCTTTGAATATACAGAAGGAATGTAAATTACAGAAGGGTGTTGAGAAATAAGAAGAAAAACATCATGAACATTAATATCAACAACCACTCTATAGTAAAGCTGTTCCTGAGGCGTTAGAATAAGTGTGTAAGTCCATGGAATGTTTGTGAGATTTATGATTATTTCTTGGCTTCACTTCAGAAATACATATTTGGGAAATATTTCTCTGAGCCTCAGATTATTCTTACGAGGTTTCCGTGAGAATTAAATGAAATATTATATTTCAAAAAGCACATTGGAAACTGTAAAGCCACTGTGTGGATGGAAAGTAATGTAGTTATAGAGAAAGTACAAAGCAAGATACTACCTCAAGTACTCTGAAATGTGGTTTCTAAGAGGCTTATACCATTTTATACTCTTCACTCCTACCAAAAAATAAAAATCTAAACTCTTAAGTGTAAGACACTCATATTAAATTCATTTTTATCTTATTTTATCTCAGCTAACATTTAACATTGTTTAATTTGTTATACAACGAAACAGTGTTTTCATGTATACCACATGCTATATATAGCATTATCCCATGAAGGACTATGGTCTGCTTTTCTGGTGTGTGAAGTTAAGTAAATGTTTAGTGTGTCAGTCTTTTGTTTTACCATGGCTTTCTTCTTGGATTCAAACTCTATCTTTAAAAGTATGACTTTGAATATAAATGGGCATATAGTGAGCATCTTTACAAAATGATTTAAAGTATCATATTTACATCCAAAGACTTTATAAACTAACTTTAAAAAATAATTTTAGTAAAAATTATTATTGAATTAGTGGGGCTTAGATTCTTTCCTCATATTTATTTTGGTTTTATTTAATGTATTTGTTCTTAAGCGCCAAAAAGACTTCTTTCCTCTACCAAAATTCTTATTAAATGTGAATGAGAATAACAGATAATACATAGTAAGGGAATAATATAATATTTTGTCCTATTTTAATTTTTAAATTAAAATATAAATGAGCTTTTATGTGTGATCACTACATGAAAGATTTGTTTTATTTAAAACTAGAAAATTTCTGTATAGATCAAGATTCTTAGGAGCAAATGGAATTTAATTCTGCTTATCTTAAGCAGAAATTTATTGGAAAATTGGTAAAAAAAAGAAATTTATTGGAAAGATAATTAGTATTTCACATAACTGGCAGGAAGGTGGAAGAATCAAATGTAGAAAATGAGCAAAAGCAAGAAGAATTAGGATAGAGAACACAGTCAAGGTTATACCACAGGAACAACTTACTTTCTGCTTCATGTAACCAACTCAAACGCTAAACTCCACAGCTGTGAATAATTGCTAAATATCCCTGGAGTTTGCATTACTGGCTAGAGTTTTAGAGACCCGGGCAGGACTGATGAAGCCCAGGACACGTCCATGCCCTTGCTGCCAAGAGGAAGGGAAAGAGAATGTCTGGAGTCCCTTGCTTTCTGTAGTAAGAGTCATGGTCCTGACTTTCAATAAAACAAAAGGAGGAATTTGCATGCTCAGCAGCCAAGAAAAGGGCAGATGTCCACTACAACCCACCCATATGGCTATTTAATATCCATATACACCTTTCTTCCTGTGCTTACCCTTCCTTTTTTGAGGGGGAAGGTGGGAAAGTTCCATCCCCTACCCTAATGCACGTATCTATTATACAAACAAAATGTGTTTTTTTTTTTTACACCTTTTTTTAAATGTATTTTTTAGAGAGAGAAGGGAGACAGAGATAGAAACATTGATGTGAGATAGAAACATTAATCGGCTGCCTCCTGCCACCCCCTACAGGGGTTTGAGCCCACAACCCAGGCATGTGCCCTGACTGGGAATTGAACCATGGACCTCTCAGTCCATGAGAAGATTCTCAATCCACTGAGCCACACCAGCTGGGCTACAACCAAAATATACTATCTCCTTCCCCTAATGGTGATGACCCTAAGTCTGCTTAGTTACCACATCTAGCTCCTGTTCAAGATAATGTCAATTTCTCCACTAGTTTTACTTGATCTTATGTCAGTATTATGCAACCTCTGGACTCAACTGTATAGTTAACCTATATAAACTAATGGAAAGAAAGGGGAAATTAAATTAAAATATATATGTGTGTGTATGTGTATATATATTGATATGATGTCAATATATATCATAGAAAGAAAGAAAATATGGGTGGGCACTACAGTCCTTTTATTTTTGCATCTGTCTCCAGGCCAAAACTGGCACTTAAAGGTTTCCTTCTTCATATTCTCATTCTTCAGGTTGCACAAATGTTCAAGGTCTTTACCCTATATTGTGATCCAAACCTTCACCTTAAGGAATCAACTCATAATGGTCCTATTTCCACATGGTTGCAGTAGTCTTCTGTTAACTTTTACCTCATGGAAAATTTTTAACATATACAAAAGTTGAGAGTAGTATAATGAGCTATGTACCTATCACCCAGTTTAACAACTATCATTCATAACTAATCTTGTTTCATCTCTACCCCATGTCCCCAACTCTGAGGATTGTTTTGAAGCAAATCCAGAATCATATCATTTTATTCATAATTATGTTTATCCCTAGAAGATAAAGTCTTTATAATCATAACCATAGTATCATTATCTCACATACACAATACTTTTTTATATTAAATACTCAGTAGGTGTTCAAGTGTTCCACATTATCTTGTGTTTCTTAACAGCCAGTTTGTTTGAATGAATTCAGTAAAATGACATATACTGTGTTGAGCACTGGTTCAGAGCATACGTACACTGCATCCTTTAGGAGTGCACATCACCCTCACAAGTTGGTATATTGTAGCTGATACCATAATTGAGTCATCAACAGACCATGCTTCTATGGGTGATGGGTTACATAAAAGTTGTTAATCCCATGGGCATCCCAGTTGCTTTTTTTTTTTTTCTTTTTTTTTTGGTCATAAGGTAAGTTCCTTGATCAGAAGCAATATTGTGTGGAGTACCCTGGAAGTATGTAAGGCATTCAACAACTCTGAGAATGATAGTGCTAATAAAACGATAATGGGAAGAGCAAATCCCAAACCAGAATAGGTATCTCTTCCAGTAAGGAAAAATCATTGCCCCCTTCATGAGTAGGTCCAGTGTAGCTGGCCGATCCCTCCAGGCTATAGTACAGAAATAAAAAGTCTCCCATTTTAAGAGCCTTAGCAGGAAGCAGGCCTCCACGTCACACCAGAGAAACCTGAAACTAGTTCCTGAACATTCTATTTTCCTAGGACACAGGGATGTGATCTAGATTTGGCCATTGACATCATCCTTCCTGAGACTACTATTTGTTAATATACAGTAGTATCCGTTTCAAACTCACATAAATTAGTTATCTCTAAATTTTGGTTGCTGTTTTGTAGATATCATCCTGATTTTCACAGATACAGTGTGGAGACTGTACAGTGGTATCCTCATGACACTGGCATGTTCACATCAAGCTCATTTGATAAAACTCTGAAAGTATGGGATACAAATACATTACAAGTAAGTATATTAAAACTTTTCCAAATGGCTCTGTAGGATGAAGGAGAATTTATTTTATTTTATTTTATTTTTTATTATTATTTTTTTAATCCTCACCTGAGGACACTTTTTGCATTCATAGAGAGAGAGAGAAACATTGATGTGAGAGAGACACATCGACTGGCTGCCACCCACACAACCCCAACCGGAACTGGGGACAAACTGCAAACGAAGTATGTGCCCTTAGTGGGAACCGAACCAGGGTCTCTCCAGACCACGTGCCGATGCTCTAACCACTGAGCCAAACTGGCCAGGGCTGAAGGAGAATAATAAACCATTTTAGTGTGATTATTTGCTAAGATATCAGATAATAGATGTGAAAGCATTATAGTTGTTAAGGAGAGTTAGATTGTTTGAGTTCATATTTTGGGTTTGCTACTGACTAGCTGTATAACGTTGAGCAAGTGTCTGAACCTCTCTGTGTTTCAGTTTTCTCATCTATAATGTGGGTAATGATTGTTATCTCATAGAATGGTTAAGATTAAATAGGTTAATATATGTAAAGAAACTAGATTAGTATGTAGCATATAGTAAGTGTTCAAAAACTATTAGCTATAATTATCTTTATTACTTAAAACTACTTGTGGTTGTATATATCTCCTATTGACTTAAAAACTTAAAGGAAAAGAAGGTTATTAATATTATGGCTTAGCAAAGGTCAACAATAGATAATAGTTTTCATGATATATGGTCAAATATGTATTTCTGGTGTAAATCTTTTCCCTGAGCTCTAGTCCCATATTTCTCTACCTGTCTACAGAACCTCTCTTGCTTGAATGTAGTGTAATACATGTCTTAACATGTTACAGACTAATCTCTCCTCATATCTATTTAGTCCTCAAATTTTAGCAGTCTTTCTTCAAATGTTCGTATTTCTCTTTTCTATTTCTCTCACCGTTACCATATATCTAGAATACTACTAAAAACTGCTAACTGGTTTCCTTGCATTTTTCTTCCCACATTTTCCATGGTAAGTTCTACCCCAGAATTAATTTTATTATAAAAGTTTCATCAACTCTCTTGTCCCAAACCCACTAGTGATTGCCATTGTCTAAAATCAGTCTGACGTTCTAAGTTTTCCATAACCTCAACCCCTAATTCCCTCAACCTTAGCTTCTACCTCTTTTTGCATAAATGATTTGCTGCCACTAAATTGATCTCTTTTTGCCTTCTGATCATATCTTGACTGTGCTGTACTCCCTTTCTCAAGTCCCCTTCCTTAGGCAACTTTTTTCTTTTCTTATTTGTCTTATAACTGGAAGTTTGTACCGTATGACCAACATCTCCCCATTTCTCCTACTTGATTGCCCCTGGTAACCACAACTTTATTCTATTTCTAGATGGCTTTTTTAGGTTCCACATATAAGAATAATCAACTGGTATTTGTTTTTCTCTGTCTGATTTATTTCACTTAGCATAACATCCTCAAGGTCCATCCATGTTGTCACATATGTCAGGATTTTCTTCTTCCTTGTGGCTGAATAATAGTCCTGTATGTTTATTAAATAACGCTGTAATGAACATGGGGTGCATATATCTTTTCAAAATAGGTTTTGTTTTTAATTTCTTTGGGTGAATATCCAGGAGTGGAATTGCTAAATCATATGGTAGTTCTTCTATTTTTAACTTTTTGAGGAACCTCGGTGCTGTTTTCCATAGTGGCTGCACCAAGAGTATACAAGGATTCTCTTTTCTCTACTTCCTTTCCAACATTTGTTACTTCTTGTTTCTGATAATAGTTTATAACTATATAAAAGGTATGAAGTAATATCTTACTGTGATTTTGATTTGAATTTCCCTTTTGCTTAGGGATGTTGAGTACCTTTTCATGTACCTGTTAGCCATTTGTATATCTTCTTTGGAAAGATATTCAGTTCCTCAGCTCATTTTTAAATTAGATTCTTTGTTTTTTTGTTTTTTTGTTCTGCTATTGGATTGTATAACTTCTTTGTAGTTAGATATAACCCCTTTTTAGATAGATGATTTGCAAATATTACCTCCCATTCTATAGATTGCCTTTTCATTTTGTTGATTTCCTTTGCTGTGGAGAAGTTTTTTGGTTTGATGTAATCCCACTTGTTTATTTTTGCTTTTGGTATCAAATCCAAACAGTCATCATCAAGGAGCTTATCCCTATGTTTCCTTCTAGGATTTTTACAGTTTCGGCTCTTACATTCAAACCTTTAATCTATTTTGAGTTAATTTATGTGTATGGTATAAGATAGCGGTCCAGCCCTGGCCGGTTTGGCTCAGCGGTTAGAACATCAGCCTGTAGTCCAGAGAGACCCGGGTTTGGTTCCTGCTAAGGGCATGTACCACGGTTGTAGTTTGTCCCCGGCCCTGATTGGGTTGTGTGGGTGGCAGCCACTCAATGTGTCCCTTTCACATTGAAGTTTCTGTCTCTCTCTCTCTCTTCCTCCTACTCCATCTGAACAAAAAAAAAAAAAAGGAAAGGAAAAATGTCTTCGAGTGAGGATTAAAAAAAAAGAGAGAGTGGTCCAGTTTAATTTTTTTGCATGTGGCTGCCTAGTTTTTCCAACATGATTTATTGAAGAGGCTATCCTCTCCGCACTATATATTTTTGGCTCCTTTGTAGTAAATTGATTGACCATATATGCCTGGGTTTATTTCTGGACTCTCAATTCTGTTACTTTGATCTGTATGTCTGCTTTTATGCCAATGCCATATTATTTTGATTAGTACAGCTTTGTAATATAGTTTGAAATCATGACGTGTGATGGCTTCAGTTTTGTTTTTCTGTCCCAAGATTTTTCTGGCTATTCAGTGTCTTGTGTTTCCACACAAAATTTAGGGTGTTTTTTTTTTTTTTCCTCTCTTTCTGTAAAATATAGGAGGAATTTGGGTGAAAGGGGTATTTTTGTTTGTTTGTTTTTTGTCTTTGGGGGGGGGATGCAATTAAGATGAAACATATTTTTTAAATATGTTTTTATTAATTTTTTAGAGAGGAAGGGAGAGAGAGAGAGAAACATCAATCAGCTGCCCCTGCATGCCCCCTACTGGGGATCGAGCCCACAACCTGGGCATGTGCCCTGACCTGGAATTGAACCCAGACCTCTCAATCATGGAACAGTGCTCAATCCACTGAGTAACACTAACTGGGCAAGACTTGCACGTTTTTTAGTGCTAATGGGAATGAAATAGCATGGAGGGAGAGATTATATATACTCGGAAGATAAAGAAGATAATGTATAGGGTGAGATTTCTGACCGTGTTGATGGGGATCTGAACATATTTCCTTTAAATATAAGAAAGGATCATTTTTCCATGATTACATGAGTGAAGAAGGAAAAAAGGATAAGTGCAAGCAAATGTGTTTGAAATTTTGTTGATGAGACATTAAGGGAATTCACATAGAGTGGCTTCTGTTTTATTTTTGGAATAAAAGATCAGAACCACCTGTTGTGACCAAGTGGAGATGTTTGCGGAGAGCACAGAAAGTTTGAACTAGTTGTGAATATTGCAGAGAATACTAGTGAAATATTGACTGGCAATCAGTACTGAAAGCCTCAGTGAGATTAATGATCTTTTATAGTGATACCAGTCTGCCCTATTATACAACTTACTTTTCTGGGGTAGGGCAGAGGTCAGCTAACTGAAGCCCACAGGCCAAGTCTGGCTCATGGCCTCTTTTTGGCAAACAAAGTGTTATTGGAACACAGACATGCTCATTTGTTGTCTTGCGTCCACTTTGATGTACTAATGGCAGAAATGGGTAGTTGGTCCTCAAAGCCTAAAATATTTACAGTCTGTCCCTTTTTGGAAAAATTTGCTCACCTCTGGTGTATATCAGCCTGAGTATAGGTGCACAGAAGACAGACATTTGGAGTCATTCAGGTTTGAGGTACTGACTAGTGCAAGGATAATGGCAAAAGAGTAGGAAATGTTGCCCTGGCCATTGTGGCTCAGTTGGTTGTGCCTAGCCCCTGCACCAGAAGGTTGTTGGTTCTTTTCCCAGTCAGGGCACATGCCCAGGTTGTGGGGCTTGATCACCAGTAGAGAGCGTGCAGGAAACAGCTGATGTATGTTCCACTCTCTCTTCCTTCCTCTCTCTCTAAAAATCAATTTAAAAAAAAAGAGTACAAAATGTTGGCAATTGAAGTATTGGATCTTAGAATTCATGCTCAAAAAGGGAAAGTGAAGACAGGAAGAACAGATAGGAGTTTGGGGCTTTATTTGGGTTCCCTAAAAGTAGTTGGGGGAAAGAAAGCTGAAAATGACAGATGATTGTAGTCATATATAATAGAAAGTTATTATTTTAAAGAAGGAGCAATTCTAGATGATGGTTGTGCCCTGGGTGTGGTAGCTGAGGTTGCATGCAACTGAGAGGCAGAGTACTGGCTAGATATCATTTGTGTAGAAGCTGAAATCCCCAAAATGGAGCAGAGAAGATGATGATGAGCCAGGGGGTTGTCTTTAATATTAATCTCTGGGATTTATTAGAGAAAAACTGTTTTTCTCAGAAAGGGAGAAAAGTGTTATAAGTAACAAAGGATTTAATATGATCAGGTATTTAAGAGTATTAACATTCCTATGTTTAAGTCAAATAAATTGCTAAGTCAATTTAAAAATGGCTAACTGTGAAAATAACTAAATAGGAAATTTGTCGATTTTGTGTCTGTAATTAGACTTACACTTTTAAAATGTTTTTTGATTATCAGACTGCAGATGTATTTAATTTTGAAGAAACAGTTTATAGTCATCATATGTCTCCAGTTGCCACCCAGCACTGTTTGGTAGCAGGTTTGTACATGTGTTCTCTTGTAATGTTTTGAAAACTTGCTCTCTTTTCATGTCTAGTTAGTTTTGATATAGACATTTTAACCCAGATGGAGATCACAATTCTTTAAAGAAATAAACAAAAAGACAAGTGTATGCTACTATTTATTTTCAGTTTAACAAATATTGTGCAAGTTAGACACTATGCTAGTGAGTAGGATTCAAATATTAATTAAGAAGGCACCTTTCTGTTCCCAAAGAATTACTTTTAAACCACCAAAATTTCAAAGATTTTTACATGAATAAAATTTGACTTTTTCAATTCAATATAATAAAACAAGGAAATTATTTCCTTTTCTCTAAAATTGTGTGATTCAAACTAAACATCTATTTTTATGGAAATACCTGCAACAAAATTTTCATGTATGGGGAAGAAAAAATATATTTCTGATATCAGAGCAGGTCCCTGAGATTTCATTACTCTCTGGCACTGCATGAATCTCCCCACCTCTGGACATCAGTCAGCTACTTCATCTGAAGAGAAGAGTTTGGCATTAAATTGTCTTTAGGTCCACTCAGTTTGTTTCCCGAGTTTCTGGAATCTATTACTAGTGATTGGAAGTATTTCATTATGGAAAAACTAAGCTATTAAAATAAAATAACTTGAGGTGATAAAATAGTATAGAATTATATACCCCATTATACCAATACAAATTTCCTGGGTTTGATATTGTACTATAGTTATGTAACATATAACCATTGGGGGAACCTGATTGAAGGGTACAAAAAGGCCTCTCTGTACTAGCTTTGCAACTTCCTGTGAACAAATATAATTATTTCTAAATTAAATGTTAAAAAATAATGCAATAATTAAGTTATCTTAGTACTAAAATATAACTACTATTACAATAAGTTTTGTAATTATAAACATTTAAAACTAAGTGTATCTTTAGCATACACTTTCATATTTCTGTATGGATATAGTGAAAATATCATAATTCATAATGGTAGTTTCTTATTTTCTTTTGATGATGATTTAAAATAAAATTAATTTAAACCATTTTTTATTTTGTTTTACAGTTGGTACCAAAGGGCCCAAAGTACAACTTTGTGACTTAAAGTCTGGATCCTGTTGCCACATTCTACAGGGTATTTTTTATTTGTAACAACAACTACTTTGAGTAAACCATTAAATAAAAAGAAACATTACTAACAATGTATTCTTTGTAAGTGACATGACTAATGTATTTTGTGCTAGTTGTTAAAAGGCAACAGGGAAATAAAGATCCTTCTGTGCATTATTCTTATAAAGCTGAACTACTAAGGAGACATTTATATGAACAATGGCCACAGGGGGAGCTCAAAGGTTATGGAAGGTCTAACTCAAAACCTTGTGTTATTTCTGTGGGTGAAAAAAATAAACTACTTATGAAACTTACATGAGCACATTTGTCTCATGAACATAGTCTAATATTATTCTGGCTGAGTAAAGGTTCTTACAATTTAGGTGCTTTTTTTCTCAGTAAAAATATTTTAGAAAAAGATGTTGAAATAATATTTTGATAAAGGTATATTAATTTAAATTATTTTGCTACTTTTTAACATCAGTATTAGATAATCTAATTCTAAACAATGGGAAGAGAGATGTAAGTCAGAAATATCTTTATTCATCACTGAGAAACATAATAAATATATAAGGAAAACTTGATGAAATAGATAACATTTATTTTATATTATCGTGAATTTCTATGTAATATAAGCCAGGTAGACTAAAATAACTGACTTGTATAGTTCAGTTAGGTAAAAGTGAGTCAAAATGCTGAAATCACTTATCCTTAAAATGATCTGTGCTTTCTAGAAAAAATATTTTATGCAAATGTATTTGTATAATCATGGATTAAAATATTTTTTTTCTGTTTTATGACTTTCTGAAGTTAGAAAATTATTATTTAGAATGTTTATCTGTGGTTCGTAGCAGTGGCTTTTGCTGTAGAGATAAGTAAGTGAGCTTGACCTATATCACTTATTGATGGATTGCATTGTTAGGTCAACAGCTATATTTAAAAAGAAAGACTCACTTGCTCTACCGTTCTTTCCAAAGCAAAACCAGGCCTTTTATAATAAAATACCATGTATGAGAAATGCCTTATAGACTTCATATTAATATATTTAAACAGATTATTATAAAAGTGAAAAAATGATTATATTAGTTTTATTTTTGCTATTTAGTCTTCATTCAGAATCAAAATTAATTGTACTGTATCTTTTGATTTTTCAAATATTTTACAAGACTTTTCATGCAGTTGTATTTGCAGGCCACAGACAAGAAATACTAGCAGTTTCCTGGTCACCGCGTTATGAATATACCTTGGCAACTGCAAGGTAAATTGAAGACTATTTTATTTTAAAGTTAATAGTTAGTGAAAAGCATTTTTAAAAGACTATATTTATGTAAGATGCATGTTTAGTTATTAATTAGGTCCTTAAAAATAAAATAATTGAGTTATAGATTCTAATTTGTATCACCAAAAGAAATCTTCTTTTGCATCAAAGCTCTAATCCTGACTATCCATCTTGAAGGTGTTCATCTTTTAAAATAGAGAAAACAAGAGAATCAGTGTAGCAATGCTAATCTTGTACTGCCAGAAAAACAGGAAACCAATTGTGTTGTGTCATTTTTGCATATAAAAGTATAGTGCTGTTCATTTAAAAATAGTAGCATTTTTATTCATTTTCTTTAATCCAGAATTGTTTTGAATCTGATTCAACATTTCCATGCATTCATTGATTCAATGTACTAATACTTAAAGACTGCCTACTGTGTGCCAAGCATCGTTCTAGGGACACGGAGTTAACCATGGCATATTCCCTTCAAGAAGCTAACAGTCTAATGTGGAGTAGTCAGAAAAATCAGCAATTCCAGAACATCCTGAAAAATGCATTAATAGAGTTACATCTCTGACAGGTGTAATATGGGAAAAGAAAGCAGAAGCACTTAACTCTAAGAAGACCAAGGAGTTTGGGTGGTTTTGTGTGTTGGCAGGAAAAGTCTTATGTATTTAAATGCTGAGAAGAAAGTACCAGTAGAGAGAAATACGTGAAGATAAGAAATGGAAGGAATCAGCCCTGGCCGGTTTGGCTCAACAGTTAGAGCATCAGCCCGCGGACCTGAGAGTCCCGGGTTCAGTTCCCGCTAAGGGCATGTACCTTGGTTGCAGTTTGTCCCCGGCCCTGGTTGGGGTCGTGTGGGTGGCGGCCATTCATTGTGTCCCTCTCATATCGATGTTTCTCTCTCTTCCTCCCCCTCTATCTGAAGATGAATGCAAAAATGTCCTCCGATGAGGATTAAAAAAAAAAAGAAAAATGGAAGGAATCATTATTACATCAAGACCTTAAACAGATGGAAGAGGGTAGTGTCAAGGGTCCAGGTAGAAGAGGGACCCTTGATTTGACACATGAAGGTTATTGTGAGTCTAAATGGAAGGAGGAAAAGATAGACATGAATACAGTTAAATTTGTTACTTTGCAGAGAGCTCAAGAAATGGAAACCTGGTGTCCTCTATGGTTTTTTAGTGGACTAGAACTTCATGTCATATATTGAAAATACTGGAATGGGATGCAATTTTAAGGGAAAGTAGTAAAGATTTGGATTAACAGTTTTATGGTTTTTTTTTTATCCTCACCCGAGGACATTTCTCCATTTTTTTTTTTCAAATAGATTGGGAAGGGGAGGGAGGGAGAAAGAGAGAGAGACAGAGACAGAGAGAGACAGAGAGAGACAGACATCAACATGAAAGAAACACATCGAGTGGCTGCCACCCGCACAACCCAAACAGGGCCGGGGACAAACTACATGCACTTAGGTATATGCAAAGGTACATGCATTTAGTGGGAACCGAACTGAGGTCTCTCTGGACCGCAGGCCAGCGCTCTAACCATCGAGCCAAACTGACCAGGGCTGGATTAACAGTTTTAATGGTTGGATAGGAATGCTGGGCACTGTTGTGTGCTTAGTCGAAAGTGTGGACCACAGCTGTACTAAGCCACAGAAATCAAAACATTAATTGATACAGACTTAAAAATTGTGTGAAAATTGTTAAATCATGGGTAAAGGGAAGGAAATAAAATCACTAAAAGGGTTATAAGAGGGGACCAAGGACCTAATGAGATAGAAGTATGTGTGTCAGAGTAAGAAAATTAAAAATCTGAAGGGATTGGAAGTAGTAGTCAAAGACTACTATAGACATTTTAATAAAACTTTTTGCAGAAGAATTATTAAAAAATTATTCAGATTAGTTTCATAAAGATATATGTGTAGATTTTCGTAAAGCTGCCAGCCCTCCCTCTCTGTCACAGTTTAGTTCCCAAAGACTGTTTGTTAATAGTTTACAAATGTGATGCTGAAATGTATAATTTCTGAAGTTTAACAAGGTCTAGAATGTAGTCTTAAGAGGCTGACCTAAGAGATGTGAAGGTAAGGAGCTAGGTGTTGGTTGTGGGTCCATGCAAGGGTGAATTTACCTTGTTTCTGCCTAACAGGGCTTTCCTCAAATCATAGAGAAGCTAAGAGGCGTTCAGTTCTCAGTATCCTTGGAATTTGAATCACTACCAGAATAGACTCAGTAATCCATGTTAGGAGTCAGATATCTGTAAATCTTATCTATTTTAGAAGAGACTTAAATCCTTGCACTCATCCCATTGCACACATTTTCCCCAGCTGGGAATAAAGAAAACCAACTTGAGAATGGAAAATGCTAGTTTTACTGACTCTTCTAATTAGCTGGGTTTGATGGTGGTCTGTGAAGTGAATCAAGGTTATAGGAAGAGATAAATAATATGATTTTTATATATGTATATATTTATATGTGTATATAATAATGCATATATATGATTTATAAATAAGAAACAAGTTTGTAAAATGCAATGCAATGGTCTTTCTAATTAAAATGGCTTGGATAAACCCAGTGGAATATTGTTGAGATCTTTGTGAGGATATGAAAGCATCAGTTGAACTGATTAATATTTAGGAGTAATTTAGAAGCTGAAATTAATGTGTGATCATGGTTTTGCCCTTCTTTTCACTTTCTTGAAATAAAATGAAAATAAATATCTAATTTCTAGAAGACATTAAATTTAGTTCTTATATATCTGACAAAGATTGATTTGAGTATAGGAAACCAAATAAAAATATATTCTTATTATTCACTTTGTTCTTATTTTTTATCATATAAAATGAAAAAATAAAAAATAAAACCCACCAAATTCATGCCAAGTGAATTCTTTTTTTTTTTTTTTGTATGTGCCCCTAGCAGATACCGAACCCGGGACTCTCTGGTCCTCAGGCCGACGCTCCAACCACTGAGCCAAACTAGCCAGGGTCCAAGTGAATTTTTAAGCAAAGTGAAATTAGTTAACTACTTGATTGTTTAGACAATATTTGAATAATAAATAATAGTAAGGATGTAGCCTACAAACCCACAAACTTGCTTAAGCAATAAGCTCTAAGCCTATCTAGTCCTTGAGAAAGATGTTCATGTCATTAAAAATAAAATGAAAAGCAGCAGAATTCTGTCCTTGTGATCTAAAAAAGGTAACTTTTTTTTTCTTATTTTTTTACTTTGTGGTCTTACTATTGAATATTTACTGAAAAGGCAAAAGTACAATAATCCAAATGTACAAATATTCTGAGACTTCTATGTGCCATAACACTAGAAAGTGAATCGTATATATGTTAGTTATATATGTCAGTGTAACATTTATTTCTTCTCAGTGCTGACAGTAGAGTAAAATTATGGGATGTGAGGAAAGCATCAGGATGTTTGATTACTCTTGATCAGCATAATGGGCAAAAGTCACAAGCTGCTGAATCAGGTAATGAAAAATGCACTAAAACATTAATACACAAATATAACAATGATCCTATTTTTATATTGAAAATTTTGAATGAAACTGAATAATAAATGTATATTGACATATTACAAATTTTGTGACTTTAAAATAGGGTATTCACAATAAATCACTTTCTTAATTTAAATAAATAATTATTGTCTTTCTTTAAGATACAAGTAAGTATGATCTATCATCTATCCCTGAATTTTCAAGTGTAGAAACTTTTCTGGATTAACTTGTTACCTTGCTTTTTATCCAGTGACACCAACTAATACAAAATCAGTGCCACTTAGGAAGTTCTAATAAATTAAAGGAATAGTAACAGTTAGTGGCCATTATGTCAGAATAAAATTTGCAAATTATATTAAATGTTTCAGCTGCGATCCAAGCAATAAAGTACTTCAGATGCATTTTTACAATAGAATTTAATTTTTGTGTATGTTAAAATTCTGTTTCAGAATTAATTCTGGACCAGAAATATATTAGAATGAACTATATAAAACCTATAATTGTTTTAATGAGCTTTTAACTTAGGCTATTGAGAATTATGTTTTCTCAAAGTTGTTTATTTTGAAAGTAATATAAATTTCTATTGAGACTAGAATAGTATCTTCTCCTGTTAAAGTTTTTAAATAGAAAATACTAATATTAATGATTTTTAATAGTTCATGGAATGATTTTTAGATTATAAGTGGAAATAGTATATAAGACGTTTGAAAGGGTGGAGGTGGAAGAGGGCATAGAGAAGATAAATGGTGATGGAAAAAAAATAAATTAAAAGAAGAAAGGTGTTAAACTGAATTTAATTGATTTTATAGCACAGTTTACTCTTTGAAGACAAATATATTTGGCAGGATTTTCCCCCTTTGGTTTTTTTTTAGTTTTCCTCTATTTTTATGGTTCTAATTTATATAGCTTATCATATTCAAAAAATCCAAAGGGATGATCAGTTTTAAATATAATTAACTTAGATATTTAAGTAATTCAGATAGTTGTCCTTTAATATTTTAAAATAAGTAGATTGTCAAGTACTAAATGTGTGCTGAATACAAGAACAGGTCAATTGAATTGTATTTTTCATTGCAGCAAACACTGCTCATAATGGAAAAGTTAATGGCTTATGTTTTACAAGTGATGGGCTTCATCTGCTCACTGTTGGTACTGATAATCGAATGAGGCTCTGGAATAGTTCCAATGGAGAAAACACACTAGTAAGAGATTTTAAATTCCTCTACCTTTTGAATATATATTAAAGAAATGGATCTGTGTCATACATTCAATTCTTTTTTGTAGATTTAACTCTGTTTCTTGCCTAACTGTTTCTTAACTCTGAATCAATGCTTTCTTTTTATAACATTTTTTCATTATGTGAGCTAGTAATTCTCAGCTCCAGACAGCTTATTCAACCTCACCTCCACAGCATTCTCTCCACTTAGTGGAGAATCATTACTCTATTGAGCATCTGTGCATTATGCAAGTGTACCATCTCTCAGGTATGTTGGAGAATAATATAAGATTGGGAACAAATGATATAACTTTATAAAGTAAAATGTCAAATTTTATACTATATGTGACTTGTAAACAAAATCCAAAATGGGTGTTTTAGTACACAGAATATATAATATTTTAATCCTGAAATTAATATGTTTCAAAGGTGCTAGATTCTTATGTGGTAGTTGATTTTTAGTACTTTTAAAAAATGTATGTTATGATCTAGTAAGAGATTTTAAATACCTCTACGTTTTGAATATACATTAAAGAAATGGATCAGTGTCATACATTCAATTCTTTTTTTGTAGATTTAACTCTGTTTTCCAGGTGTACCTATCGTGTAGTAACTTTCAGAGTGAGATACCAAAAGTTTATAATTTGGTGATGATAATAATAATAGCTAATGTTTATTGAGAGTTATATGCCAGATCCTGTGCTAATAAAAATTAACATTTAATATATGTGCTGGAGCATATACAGTATAGACTTACTTAATCATCACATCAGTGTTATGAAGGCGATATCTGTTATAATACCCATTATACACACGAGGAAATGAGACATAAAATAGTTAGGTGAATGCCTGAGTTTACACGGGTATAAAGCAACAGAGCTTGACTCTAGATTTCACTCTTATTGTAGTGCTAATTATACCCAGACCTCTTAAAGCATTTATTTTAATTTTTTTCAATTACAGTTTATAGCTAATGTTATTTTGTATTAGTTTTAGATGTACAGCACATTGGTTAGACAGTCATATACTTTACAAAGTGATCTCCTTGATATGTCAAGTACCCATCTGCACTATACATAATTATTGCAATATTATTAACTATATTCTTTATGCTGTACTTTACATCCCCATGACTATTTTGTAACTACCAATCTGTACTTCTCAATCCCTTTACCTTTGAGTCTTCTACCCACTCCCTCCCCTCTGGCAACCATTAGTCTTTCTCTGCATCTATGAATCTGTTTCTGTTTTGTTTGTTCATTCATTTTGTTCTTTAAAGGAAATCATATGGTATTTATCTTTCTCTATCTGACTTATTCATTTACCATATACCCTGTAGGTGCATTTATGTGGCAAATGGTAAGATTTCATTCTTTTTTTTTTTCTTTATGGCTGAGTAATATTCTAGTGTGTGTGTGTGTGTGTGTGTGTGTGTGTGTGTGTGTGTATGACATATTTTTTTATCCATTCATCTATTAATGGGCATTTGAGTTGTTAAAGCATTTATTTAATACCTTAAGGTAGGTATTAATATTAATCATGATTCTTTCTTTAATCATCCTTTCTAGCTAATTCTCTTTCACATAGTTTAGGTATCATTTTATTATTAAATAATGAGTTTACTATGTGGTCAGAATTATTTATACTTCAGAGTAATTCCTCATACTTGATGAAATGTTTCTCCATTATGTCTCAGGCTAGATAGAAACTCAGGCATTGCACATTTTAGTTTAGAATCTCCCATTCATTATATTATATCATGTTTCTAATTAGGTCACACTTTTCTTTTTTCATTTTATGTGTTTGTTTGATAAATATTTGTCGAGTACTTCCTATTTACCAGGCAGTATTATACAGCAGTAGACAAAACATGGAAAAGTCCTGTCCTCGTGGAGCTTGCATTTCAGGGAGAAGAAGAAAGATATCCATCCATCAACCAATAAATGGATGGATGGATGAGTGGATAAAATATGTGTTAAATGCAGTAAGCACTATGAAGAAAAGCAAGGAAAAAGGCATTGTAAATATTAGGAAGTTGGTGTTGCTGTTTTCCATAGGGTAGTCAGGTTAGGTCTCACTCCAAAGATGACGTTTGGCCTGAAGGAGTGAGCCATCGATATCTGGGCCGGAGAGCAGTTCAGGCAAAGGAAGGAAGAAAGAAGTACAAAGTTCCTGCGGTGGAAGCATGCTTGAAATACCCAAGGAACATCTAAGATGCTCTTGTGTTGGAATATAGTAAGTAAGGGGGAGAGTAATAGGAGAGGAGGAACAGAAGGAACAGGACACCAAAACATAGAGGTTGTGCGCCTTTGTAAGGGCTTTGGCTTTTTCTGTGGGTGAGATGGAAAGCCACTCAAGGCTTTTGAGTGGAGAATTGACAGGGTAACTTTGGAAAAGTAGGCTGGCATGTGCATCAAAGGTGAATGTGATAAGTGTAAATGGTATTGAATATATACGTAAATTGTTAATGTGATTTTATTCCATTTTTCTCCTACTCACCCTGTGGATTTTTGCTATTAAGTTTATATCTTGAATAGTGTGTTTAGAATGGATAATGCGTTTCAAAATGGACTTTCAAAGTACAAGTTATTCATGCGAAGGTGACTATTGTAGGCCAGAAATTCACCTACAAAGGACACTTAAAGTAATAGGACATTGATCTCAGTAAAAGTAACTCTGTCTTCAGAGTCACACACTGTCTTCAAGTATTTAATGGGCTGTCAGACAGAATAAGAAACAAATTCTAGTCGTGCCATTTAATAATTTGAGAACATTAGGCAGTTTATTTGCAGTGACATTGTGATAGACTACAGTCAGAGTTTCTGTATCTCCAGCATGTAAATCAGGATTATTATGAACCTAAACAGTAACTGTAAGGATAAAATGGAAGTATGTAAATAGTAGTACTGAACCTGCTAAATAATAGGCAGACACCATAAATAATAACTATTGTATAGTGTTGCCCTATTAATAGTGCCTTCATCGATTTAAAAAAGATATATAAATACATGCTTCCAACATATGTATCATTATTTATGAATTATTTGCAAATACTATTGTGAGTCTATATATTTTTTAAAAGCTTAACTTCTTATTTTTAGTCTAAAATGAAATAGAAATTCTCACATTTTCTTCTCACACATTAATGGACCATTTTGCAGACTCCCTGAGGTGTGGGAACTGCACTTTGGAGATCTTTGCCTTAGAGTACAGAGTGAGTATCTACAGGGACAATTCACAGAGAGGCAGCTTTTGGCAGAACAAAAGAAAAAAATGTCAATGTAGCCATTCTGGACCTTTCTGTTTAGTTACTGGTATATCTTTCACCAGTCACCAATGTCTAGAAACTGGGAGCCTATCCTTCATCTTTCCTGTCCCTTGTCCCAGCTATTCAATCAATTATAAATCCTGTTAATTCTCCCATCTTAATTTTTCTATCTTTTCCTTTTCAACCTCACTCTGGGCCCTCATGATCTCTCTATTTAATTACTCTAACATCCTTCTAACTTTTCCCAAACTCATCTCCCAGTGGAACTTTTTCAGTGTTTCTTCAATACACTCAGGTTATTGAAACCAAATGCCTTTGCCTCTGGTGAACAAGGCCTTTATAAGCTGTACCTCCTAACTCACCAGCTTTGTGTCTTGCCATTTTCCTACCTTTTCCGTGTCCTTAGTCATGCTGAGCTACTTAGAGTTCTTTAACTATACCATGCTCTGTGGCCCTTTCATTCTGCTGCCTAGACTGTTGCCTTTGCTTTAGGGTACCATTCTTCTCTTTCCTGTCCTAGCTGCTTCTCAGCTTTCAGCTTCATCTCAGGCACAACCTCTCTTTAACTCCTCTAGTCTAGCACAGATGCTTCCAGAGTGCCTACTGCTTACTTGTATTAGTGTTCTGTGATCATCACTTTATGGAATGAAAAAGAAAATCATTTACAACAATGCAGCTTTCTTATTAGTAGTCTAGATTCAGTTTCTGTATTTACTAGCCATTTACTAGCCAAGAGACCTTGACTGAAATATTTAAGCATTGTGGTTTTGTTTTGTTTTTGGTATAGTAATGTTACTTATCTCAGTATTGTTTTGAGTATTACATGAAATAATACATGTAAAAAATTTAGCCCATTATCTTATATTTACAGCAAATTTTGAGATTTCAGTGAATGTTACCTGTCATTACAGTTTGACAATAAAATGAGCTGCTTTGTAATGGAATCTCTGTATCACTGTAGGTGTTCACTTAGTAACTAGATGTATATATTTCCTACAACAATAAAAGGGATTCATAAGACAGAGAATTGGATTTGCCATTATCATATCCCAAGTCTGATTTTCCTGCCCTAATAAAATCTTTTCAAAGCCTTTGCATACCACCTTTAAGACATCATAGCCAAAAGAAACCTGTTCCTGCACAGTAATTTCATAATAATAATAAAGATAGATCATGCCATTTATCACACTGCTTTTTATGGTAAGTATTTATAGATGTAAAGTGGGGACCTTAGATAATCACCTAGCACAGTATATGACATAATGAACACTTAGTAACTGCTTAATCTGTTATTAGAACTTTATTTCGTAGGCATTGAGAAGATATTGATAGTTTTGAGTCCACAGATGATTTAATCACAGTAGTGATTTACAAAGATTAGTAGGACAGTAAATTGCAAGATGTATTGAAGGGGCAATGCCTAAGGAGAAAGATAAAAGTGAGCTGACTCAATATTCACACCTCATTCAGCACTTTCCAGTTCACATTTTGGAAGGAATATAGGGTTTTTTGTTTTGTTTTGTTTTTAGCTAGGTGCTCTGATAAATATGAATAAAACCATCACAGGCTAGCAGTTCATAATTTTTCCAGGAGCAATAGAGATTTATGGTTTTTTTCCACTACCCCCTCCATGCCATGCTACAAATTGTTGTGCATGCAGGATCAAAAGAAACAAATGAGAATGTATGTTATACTTTTAAATATATCTAGGAATTAATAAATATTGAGACTAAATACCTTTATGTCCTAGGTGTTCTCATATGCATTATTTTGTTTGTTCACAATAACTCTGGTAAATGATTTCCTTTAAACAGATTGGAAGAATGAAACTCAGAAGTTAAATAATTCATTACGCATAAGAGGCAAAGGAAAAAGGGATGAGGCATAAAGTGGGTGTCAAAAACCCGAGTCTATTGACTCTAAGTTCAATGTTTTAAAGTTTCATTCTACCACTGGTCAGTGGAATAGCTAAACACATGTGCTCATTTCTGTCCCATGTTAACTTGAAGGGTGGGTATGGCAAATGTAATATCCAGAGATTATCAGTAAATATCCATTTGGGCCTCAGTATTTGTACATATAACACACACACACACACACACACCCTATCTGTTCAAATTCTAGTATTAGCCATAGTAAAGGGAAATTTTGGTGATCTGCATGTTCATAATTTCCAAATTATTAGACATCTACCCTAAACTGCTTATCTAAATTATCAGCAGAATAAATCTGACTGTAAATTTCTTTAGTCCAGAGCTTCTCAGACTTTAATGAGCCTACAGATCACTTAGGAATCTTGTTAAAATGAAGATTCTAATTCAATAGGATTGGGATAGGGCCTAGAATTTTGCTCAGGTGATGCTAATATTGTTAGGCTTATACCTTAGGCATACAGTTGCAAAATTTTTATTTTTGTACCAAATGCATAATTATTTATATAAAGCTGAAATTATGGATATACACTGTTTTTTTGCTTAGCTTTCATCTCTATTTTCTGCATAATTGTCCTTTTTAATTGCTATATAAACTATAAAATTAATTTAACATTATTAGAAATTTACATATATTCTGTTCTTTTGCCATGAGTTAATTCATTGAATTCCTCTGGGCATATAGATTTTTGCTGTTTATTTATTTTCCTAAGATAAATTCCCAGGAGTAGTTACTAGGTCAAGAAATAAGAATATCTGTGTTGTTTAATGGGTACAGAGTTTCAGTTTTGCAAGATGAAAAAAGTTGTGGAGATCAATGGTGGTGATGATTTACCATTGTGAATGTACTTAATGTCATTGATCTGTACACTTAAATATGATTAAGATGGAAAATTTTGTTATGTGTATTTTACTATAATTAAAAATGTTTTAAAATAAAAAGGTTATCCCCCACCAAAAACAACATCTTTGTATTTTGATGCATAATAAACCTCTTGTCTTTTTAGAAGGAATTACCAAAGTAAGTGCTATCAACATGTTACCTCACTTGTACCCATATTGATAAAATCTTTAATAAATGGTTGAAAATTATTCTTTAAGGATGCCTTAATTTTCACTTTTATTTCTATCAAGGTTTAAATGTGTCCATTTGCTTTTGAATTGTTTTTTTTTACTATTTGTATTTCTCTCTTCTATGAAATACACATTTATGTCATTGGCCCGTATTTATATTATGGCATTGGTCATTTTCTTTAGATATATAAGAACCCCTTGCCCTGGCCAGTTTGGCTGAGCGGTTAGAGCATCAACCTGCGGTCCAGAGAGACCCCGATTCGGTTTCGCTAAGGGCACATACCTTGGTTGCAGTTTGTCCCTGGCCCTGGTTGGGTCATGTGGGTGGCAACCACTTGATGTGTCCCTTTCACGTTGATGCTTCTCTCTCTCTCTCTCTCTCTCCTTCCCACTCTATCTGAACAAAATATCGAAAAATGTCCTTGGGTGAGGATAAAAAAAAAGAATAATCTCAAATAAACAATCTAACCTAACACCTAAAAAAAAAAAAAAAAGAACCCCTTTATAGTATATTCTTATATTTTAAGTAAATAATTCTAGTCCTTTTAATTCAGATTTAAGGAGTAACTTTGTGATCTGACATCCCACAGGTGAATTACGGAAAAGTTTGTAATGACAGCAGGAAAGGATTGAAATTCGCTGTCTCCTGTGGCTGCAGCTCAGAATTTGTCTTTGTACCATATGGTAGCACCATTGCTGTTTATACGATTTACTCAGGAGAACAGATAACTATGCTTAAGGGACATTATAAAAGTGTTGACTGCTGTGTATTTCAGGCTAATTTTCAGGTAAGAATGATACTTAAGGGAATTTAAAATGTTCAGGTAGCTAGTTTGCTAGACTACTTGTATATAACAAATAAATTGTAGTTTCATTCTGAGGAATTATACTTTTAATCCACATTTGAGTTAGGGTTCATTTAATAAAGGACAATACAGGATAGATTTTTTAGATACTATAGGATGTATATATGAATCAATATATAATACTCAAAAACTTGACTTTAAGTACCACCTGATAAAGCTCTTATTCATTTATTAATATTGATTACTTAATTTGTGCCTGACACTGTGCTGTAAGATATAAAGGGCTGATTTTTCAGCCAGCATGCATCAGTATGGCAATATCCATTATTAAAATATTCAAATACATGTCCTACTGTTTGTTAAATTGTTGTTGTACCAAGCGCCCTAACTGACCTCCAGCTTTACCCTCTCCCTTGGGGCCTCCTAGACCTCACCTCAACCCAACAGCCAAAAGGGACCTTCAAGACCCTGCTTCAAATTAATTAATCCACAATCACATCTTTGATTTCTGTGTTATAGGAACTTTATAGTGGTAGCAGAGACTGCAATATTCTTGCTTGGGTACCATCCTTATATGAACCAGTTCCTGATGACGATGAGGTAAATATTATTTGTATAAATTGTACAGTGACTTCTAAATCATATTTTCTGATTATAAAAAATAATTTGCTTGTTATAAGACATTTGGAGAATTCAGAAAAATATTAAAAGAACAAATTTCTAAAGTTGAATTAATTACTGTTTACATTTTTATTTACTACTTCTTTTTCCTGTATATATGTGTTTTTTAGCATACTTAATATCATACTTGAACATACAGCTTGACATCCTACTTTTCTCACTTAATATTGTACAGCAAGCCTTCTTCATGTCATTAATAACTATTGCTTTTAATAATATAGCATTCTGTCATTTATGTACCACGGTTTGCTTAAATATTTACTCATTTGGAGACATTTCTTTTGATCATTATTTTTTATTTTTTATTTTTTTCATCCTCACCCGAGGACATTTTTCCATTTTTTGTTCAGATAGAGCGGGAGGGAGAGAGAGAGAGAGAGAAACATCGATGTGAAGGGACACATCGAGTGGCTGCCACCCACACGACCTACCAGGGCCGGGGACAAACTGCAACTGAGGTACACGCCCTTAGCGGACACCGAACCCGGGTCTCTCTGGACCGCAGGCCGACGCTCCAACCGCTGAGCCAAACCAGCCAGGGCTCTTTTGATCATTATTAACAAGTCAAAGTAAATATTCATAAATTGTTTATATTTCCAATTACTTCTTTGGATAGAATGAATGACATTTCTTAGGCTCTTTATTCACACTGTCAAATTTTACCAATTTACATTGCTACCAGCGAGCTGCCTGTTAATTCCTGTCTTAGAGCATAAATTGGTACAAATACGAGATTATGAATAAAAAGCCTTAAAAATGTGATGGGTAAACAAAGATGAATCTCTGGTCTTATGTAGTAGACTCTGTATTTTTTTGCTTTTATGTCAAATTATCTATAGATGATATCTTTTCTACCAAAGATTGTTTTACCAAGCACTGTTAATTTTCCCCATTTATTGTAATTTCTGCAATATAAAAAGTCTAATGTCTAAAAACCATTATGTATATATATAATTTTTTTGAGTTGAATATATAACTAATATAGTTAAGAATACCTTAAGTTAATCCTATCCCAGTCAGAGTAAAAATAAAACATTTTGAATGGAGATAGAAGAAAGTCATAGAGAAAATTTGAAATTCTAAAACCAGTTTTCATGTATTTAGTTCCTTTATGACAATAGAACTTTGTCCAAACCACATGTATGAGGGTAGTTGATAGCATTTAGCAGCTATTGACAAAATACATTTTATACCTAAATTTGCAACTGCTATGGTTACTACAGTGTAGAGCCTATGAATTGTTTTCTTTTGGCCCTAATCTAAATGAAAGAGAGAAAAATAAACACAATGACAAATCTTCAAGCAGCTGGCCAAACACTGTATGATTACTTCCAGATTTCATCACATGTCTAATTTGGTTTATTATGGCTTTGATTCGTTTTAATGTACACCAGCTTTATTTTTTTATTTTTTATTTTTTTATTTTATTTTTTTTTATCCTCACCCGAGGACATTTTTCCATTTTTTGCTCAGATAGAGTGGGAGGGAGAGAGAGGAACAGAGAGAGAGAGAGAGAAACATCGATGTGAAAGGAACACATCGAGTGGCTGCCACCCGCACGACCGACCAGGGCCGGGGACAAACTGCAACCGAGGTACATGCCCTTAGCGGGAACCGAACCCGGGTCTCTCAGGACCGCAAGCCGACGCTCTAACCGCTGAGCCAAACCGGCCAGGGCTGTACACCAGCTTTAAATGACTGGATATTCTTTAGAAAGCTTAATATGGCCAAATTGTTTGGTTCAGCCATTTATTTTGCATTATTATTTAATTATTGTATCCTGCCATTTGGGAATCACTATATATATTAAATCCAAGCTATAACAGTATAGGTCCTGTTGGGAAGTATAACAATTACTTACCAAATGAAAATGAAAGTAAATATACTATGATTTATGTTTGGAAAACTAAAATGCTTAATTTCTAAAGGTAGTGTGTGATTCTGATGGTTTATTTCCTTATTATGTGGTGATAATGATAGTTTGAACTCCTTATCTAGAATAATTTTTGTATATGAGAAATTAACCTGAATAGGAAATCAAATAGAGATACACAACTTACCTTTATTCTTGTTTTAGAGCTATAAAACCATATCTTTTAAAACATACTGTTTTACTTTAAAATAACAATCATTCTCATATTAATATAAAATGATGTGCTAACATTATTTTCACAAAACTTTAGTTTGAAAGATTTCTGTAAATGTAGGTAGAACACACATGTGATCGTGATACAGATCCCAGTAGAGAAGTTTGTCTACACAAGACTCTGTTCCTTACATGTATATTTACTGTTTGACCCATATTTAAAAGTTTTTCATCTCAACTAACAAATAAATGACTCCTGCAGTTTCCCAAAGAAGCAACATAACACAGTTAAAAATAAAACACACATATACACACACTCACTTAGTCTTTAGTTTAAGGTAAATTAAGTAGTAATAAAACTGGTAGGTAATTGGGTTTGAATCCCAGTTTTGTCATTTATTAGTGATCTGGGAAAAGTTTATATCTCTAACTATTAGAATCATCAAAGCAAAATTGTTCTTGGCTTTTCCTTTCAAATCCACCGGTAAGTTTACTTCCCTATTAACCAAGATAAAATCCCTCATGGGTGTTTCTTTTGAAATTTAAGATAGAGGAGGAATTTAGTTCTACCATAAGAAACTGAAAGGTTTTGGATAAAGGTATTGGAACAGATTTTATGGTCTTGAAGCATAAATCCTACTGTGTAATTGGCAGGGTGTTTCACTGTATCTGAGGAATCTGCCTGCCTTTTGCCCCCTCTTCCTAAAACTTAGTGGTGATCAAGGCAAACCTGTATAACTCTTAATCAGTTTTTCCTCTCTGAGATCTATAGGTCAACTACATCACAGTTTAAATCTGACCTCTCACCAAGAATCTTACTTTATTTTGACAGTCACACAATGCAGAGCTATTTACCACTTGTGTAAGTGTATAATTACTTGCTGATACACACAACCCTATATCCTACCTATGGAAAGTTTCTAGTAATTACCATTAAGAAATTTAGAATTTATCAGGATGTATGTGTGGTAGATGTTTGGTTTTGTTCTTCCTTCCCAATTTTTAGACATGGACTAGATTCCCTCTAACTCACGCTTCCCTATCTCCATGACATTCACAACTCTCTGTCAGTAGAACAGGCAGCCTGGTGAAATAGAGAAAGATATGTTCAAGCATAGAAAAGATGTCCACTAGGAGGAGATATTGTCAAGAAAACTGTTGGTAGTTACACTTGATCAGGTCTTAAACAATAATATGTGTGACACATCCATACATATTTTTACTGCAGCTTTTAACTATAAGTATGATGTTTTATTTGTGATTTTTAGCAGTAAAGTATACTTATTATAATACTGTAATGAATACATATTGTTATCCTTTTACTATAAGCAGTAAAATTTACATGCAACTGCATTTTGATTTTCACATAATTATTTTTGTTTCTTTGTTCTTCATAGCAAAAATAACTTATAATAAAATATAATTTTGCTTATCTGTTGAGTCTTCAAATGAAATTTAAATGTTTAATAGGTTACATAGTGGGCTTCCATTCCGTAGTGGAATATGGAGGCATGACCTTTGTATGGTGTATCCACCCAAGGACAGTTTTTTTGGTAGATGTGTAAGGCAGAGTTAAAGGCTTCTATGAAGTAGGGAAGAAGAATCACCTAGCCCTTAAGGACAATACATCTTTGGATAAATGCTCACTAAATAACCTAACTTAGCAGTTAAATTATATTATAAACCCAGAAAGATAGGAAATTCAGCAAACATTTGGATGAAGGAATAAATGAATATACTTCAGTATGCTACTCTTTCAAATCCATGGACTGTTGCTAGAAATAAGTGAATAAATAGCTGAAATTTGGTAATAGTTTTGTATTTGGTCATTTGCGATATAATGGGATTTTGTTTGTACAGCTAAGTGATGATAGCCAACATTAGGTTTAGTAATAGTGACAATAGCCAACATTAGGTTAGTAATAGACTCTGATCTATAGCTTTAACAGCTATACAGAATACCTAAATTAATATATTGTTCTACAACTATTCTGGCTGATACTTTGGGTATTTACTGGAAACACCTACATTTTCTTTTGTTATCGTTGTTTGAATTATAAGATTATAAGTCATCATGGTTATCAAAAAGGAAATAAACATTCTCAGACATACAGTAGAGGTTACCCTTGTCATAAAATATTGCTATATGTTGTAAAAGGCGATACCTGTAAGACAATTTAAGAGTAGTCTGGGTACTAAGTATTATTGGATTTTTGGGTCTTGTAGCAAATATAAAAGCTGCAGAATGAGAAGCAAACCTGGCTCAGAATGCCCAGATAACTAAAAAAAAATGAGACTATCTTAAAGACTATCTTTAGTCATTTGCCAGAGAATAAGAAGGTAACCATTTAAAATGTTTCCAAAAAAAAAGGAATTGATTTGAAATATCACAAATAATTAAAATTACTCTAGTTGCTGATACCTTTATTAGGTACAACTCTAAAGTTGTAAAAATACTGTGATGTTTTGTTGTTTTAAGTAAAAATCATCTAACTGCATATTATCTTCCAAGAAATCTCCCAGGGAAGCCTATGTGCTAATGACAAACTCGTTACCATTTCTGACACATTTTGCTTTGCTTCTAAACTATTTTACCAACTATAAAAACATAAATAAGCCCTGGCCGGTTTGGCTCAGTGATTGGAGCGTCGGCCTGTGGTCCAGAGAGACCCGGGTTCGGTTCCCGCTAAGGGCACGTACCTCGGTTGCAGTTTGTCCCCGGCCCTGGTTGGTCATGCGGGTGGCAGCCACTCGATGTGTCCCTTCACATCGATGTTTCTCTCTCTCTCTCTTCCTCTCTCTCCCTCCCACTCTACCTGAACAAAAAATGGAAAAATGTCCTCGGGTGAGGATTAAAAAAACAACAAAAAAACATAAACCTCATGACTTAATAACCCAAATTACTTTTTTGTTTTTTTTTTTTGTTTTTTTTTTATCCTCACCCGAGGACATTTTTCCATTTTTTGTTCAGGTAGAGTGGGAGGGAGAGAGAGGAACAGAGAGAGAGAGAGAAACATCGATGTGAAAGGGACACATCGAGTGGCTGCCACCCGCACAACCGACCAGGGCCGGGGACAAACTGCAGCCGAGGCACGCGCCCTTAGCGGGAACCGAACCCGGGTCTCTCAGGACCGCAGGCCGACGCTCTAACCGCTGAGCCAAACTGGCCAGGGCCCAAATTACTTTTTTGAGCCAAAAATGGTACTACTCAGTTTGATGAATACTATTCCTCATATGTGGATATTTGCTTTTTTATAAAAGTTAGGTCGTTCCAAACAGTAATAAGTTGTCGCCCTGGCCGGTTTGGTTCAGCGGTTAGAGCGTAGGCCTGCGGTCCTGAGAGACCCGGGTTCGGTTCCCGCTAAGGGCACGTACCTCAGTTGCAGTTTGTCCCCGGCCCTGGTCGGTTATGCGGGTGGCAGCCACTCGATGTGTTCCTTTCACATCGATGTTTCTCTCTCTCTCTGTTTCTCTCTCTCCCTCCCACTCTACCTGAACAAAAAATGGAAAAATGTCCTCGGGTGAGGATAAAAAAAAAAAAATAAGTTGTCAAGTCACACTGTGAACCTGAGCCCAGTCTTAGTTACATGGATGGTAGATTGTTACCTTCTCCAGGTAATTCCAAAGAATTGTAGAAATGCATTAAGCAATAGCATCAGGGTGGTGTGTGTGTGTGTGCGCATGCGCGCGCGCACGCGTATGAATGTGTTGTGAGGTAACTACATTGAGGGACATGTAGATAAATTGGATAAAGTATGATATGTCTATTTAAAATGAAATTACATTATCTTATATTGTATGTGGGGCTTTTCTTACATTTGTTTTGAAATGACAATTATACATTTTATTATTTTAAAACGTAATTGTTTTTCATCTGATAGATTTCATAACTATATTATGAATCTAAAATCATGAGGTAAATTAATCAAATCTTCCCTTTTCCCCCCTTTTTAGACTACAACCAGATCACTGTTAAATCCAGCATTTGAAGATGCCTGGAGCAGCAGTGATGAGGAAGGATGAATATTAATCCTCAGTACCTTTGTGTCTCTATTGAGGAATTTTTTTAAATGGGACTGTTTTTTTTTTTTTAACTGTTCAGTAACAGCTAAATTAGCACTGAAATTGGGTGATTTTCCCTCCATGTTTTAAATTGAGGTCAGTATGTGCATGAAATCCTAAAACAGACTTCTATATAGTATACTTAATCAAAACATGTCTCTTGGTCCCAGTTGCTGTGGCCTAGGGCAGCCCGTATTGCTATAGTACAAGAAGACAAGTCACGGCACCCCATGTGGGACCTCAAGCAGACTGTGTGAACTATAAGATGCTGTCTCTGAGGAGGAGCAAGTAGAGGTTAACTGCTCTGACTTTCTCCTGCTAGCTACACCGTCAGCCTTTTCATTTTCACTTTCAAGGAGGATTTTACTGATGATTACATAAAAAATAATAGTTGAAAAGTTAGCATCAAAAATGTTTTATTCTTTCTTATTTGTGTGTTCAGTTTTTGCAATGATTTCATTTAGTTGACCATTGTCTAGTTTTTTGTTAAATATTTTTGGATTCAGTTCCTCCCACAATCCAAAAAGTGCATCACAGGAATTTTTTCAACTTGGAAAAAAATCCCATGCTTCCTTTATTTTAATGCATCAGATGGCAGCTTGTACCCATACATGAACTTCCTTTCTCTGAATCTTGTTAAAATGTGACCAAGTTCTACTTCGTTCATCAAGGCACAAAATGCCCTGACAGGGAATCTGTCTTAAACATGAAATATTGTCATAAAATTTCTAGTTTACTGTCTACTCTTGTGTCAACCCATAAGTTATTATCATGAAGCTAATCTTATGTTTCCTTTCTTCCTGATTCTTATCAGCAGGAGGCTTGTAAAAGAAGTTTTTGTGAGCTTGAGTACCAAGTATATAGTTGTTGTTGTTAATCCTTACCCAAGGAATTTTTCCATTGTTTTTTTTTTTTTGGTTGAATGAAAGAGAGAGAGAGAGATTGGCTGCCTCCTGCATGGGCCCCAGTGGCCTAGGATTAAACCTGCAACCCAAGTACTTACCCTTGACTGGGAATCTAACCTGCAACCCTGTGATCCGAGGGTTGGCGCTCTAACCACTGAGCAAACCAGCCAGGGCCAGTTTATATACATTTACTTTCTATTTTATTTTCTTAAGCTCTTACCATTTTATTTTCACTTTCCTCCCCCTTGGTGAGGATGCTTATGACTTTTGAGAATGTTATTGAAATTGGAATTTTTTTTTTTTTAATTTTAAGGAAAAATAAGTTTTTCTCCAAACTGCAAGTAGCTGTATTGCTGCTGCTGCTGCTGCTTTTTAACATAAATTAACCCATTTATTATAGGCTAGCAGTGTTTCAAATCGTAGAGCTTTTACTGGTCTTTCAGTTCCTTCAGTCTTTTGACTAGGACGACAGAAGTGGTGGTGTAGGTCCAGGCAGCACCAGCCACTGTTCTTAGTGCCAGATCCCACAGCTCATCTCTTCATCTTGGTTTTGCCACAGAAGGAGCAATTGTACTTGACGTGCTTGCTGATTTCAGTTTTCTTCACCATTTTCCTAAGGGAGGCACCTTAATGGGTCCCGTATTTATTGACAGTTCTGACCTTTTTGGTGCATTTGGCCATGTCCCTGCAAACTAGGTCAGAATCCATGAGAGTGTATCGCTTCTTTCTGGTTATATAAATACAGTCGGTTCCCCATATCTGCGGGTTTCACATTGGCAGATTCAACTAACTGTGAATCAAAAATATTCCTCAAAAAAGAAAGTTACATTGTTGCTAACATGTACTATGTAGTTAGGTCTATGATGGTTGTGTCTGTACTGAATACATACAGAGTTTTTTTCTTTCATGTCATTATTCCTTAAATAATACATTATAACAACTATGTATATAGCATTTATATTGTATTAGGTATTAAAACTAATCTAGAGATGATTTAAAGTATATGGGAGGATGTGTGTACTACGTCATTTTATATAAGGGGCTTGAGCACCCTTAGATTTTGGTATTCATGGGGGGGTCCTGGAACCAACTCCCTGCAGATACCAAGGGACAACTGTGTAGATGTTCATTGTAAAAACTTCAAGAGACATAAAAACTTACCAAAAAAATGTAATGGTCACATAGAATTATACTACCCTGAGGTAACCACTACTAACAGTTTGATGGCATTCTTCCAAGCATCTCTTTGTGACACATATAAGTGTACATAATAGGATATTTAACATGCTATTATTATCATGGAAACCCGTCTCCTCACACATCAGTACCTCCCACCCCATTTCTTATCCCTTCTGTCACAATCCAAGTTATTAACCAGGTGTGCGTTCTTTCGCATTCTAATTCTATATGAACCTATGTAGACACAGATGGGGAAATATTTTTATTTTGCAAAAATGGGATATACACAATTCTGTGTGTTCCCCCCCGCCCCCTTATAGCTCATAGAAATCTCTCTGTATCTTTTGGTATAACTAAGTGTATTGACTATATTTTCTTATTTTCTGTATTATTGATACTCTGGCATTTGGGACCTTGACCCTGGAGACACTGCCCCTCCCAGGATTAGCTAATTCCTAGAGATAACACAGGACTCCCCTTTGACATACAAACCAATCAATTCAGAGTCCACCCCCGCCCCAAACTCTCACACTCCAAGCCAGTATTCCTCCTTGCTCTAAATCACCCCAGAGCCAGGTACTAGACAACTGGGGACCATCCTTATAGCCTAGAGTATACCAAAATTATTCAAACTACCCAACCCTAGATTTACCCAGTGTACCATCTCTGCCTTGCCCATTCCTATCCAGAAAGCCCCAGTGAAGTCTCTGGGCCATGTTCTGCCCTCTCCCTAGGGAGGAGGTCTTCTAGTGGACCCTGGTCCTTCCACCTGTGCCCGTGCATGGCATGGTGTGCCGTGCCTGCAGGTTCTAGGGATCTATGAGAAGAACTTCTTTGTGACAATCATTTTCATATTGTATGTCTTACCAGACCTGATTAGAACAAATCCCAGGTACAAATCTTTACATAGTTGGCATAGTGAGCTGGGAGGTTTGATGTCAAATAAAGATGATATGTCCTTAAACTGCTCCTGGCTTATTAACTGGATCCAGCAGTCAGTGGACACTGCCTGAAAGGGCACCCTTGATTGTTGGTACCCTTGATGTTGGTGGCTACTGCATTGTGTAGTTTTTTGGGAGGTCTTTCCAAGATTTCCCAACTGCAAGAGGTCACTCAACATATTCCCCCATGTTGATGGAACCCACCCAAGGTCCGGGAAAGAATTCCTGTGTGTATAGTCAATTGGCTATATCTTGAAAAGTTTCCTTGGGGATGAGGAGTAACCAACCTCCTAGTGCTGTAGGATCGTAACCACTGCTACCTGGCAGCACTGACAAGCAGTGGGGCATCTGAGTCATTTAGATGAAAGTACCTAGTGTCCAGGAAGTCATACCTCCTGGAGGTACTCCATAAACCACTTTTAGTTTTCCTCTGAGCTTTTCCGAGTCCAACTTCAGTCTGTTCTTTGGAGTGGTAGGAGACAGCTACCCTCAAACACTTGCTCATGTGTTAAGGGCCCTTTGGAGCTTTGGTATGAGGGCTTTCCCAGGAGATCTTGGCTCCCACAAATGTTCTTGTTCAGATCATGAGCCACTCTGCTGTCTGTTTGCTGCTGTCACAGTCAATTGGTTTTCCAAACCAGTGAAGTATAAGAGGACCCATCCCTGGCTCAATGTTTAATGAAGGGAGGAAGGAAAAGGAGCATCTGGTTCCAGCTACCCCCAAAACCCTGAAAGGTGATTCAATTAACTTTTGTGTTTTTAAAGTGAAACACCTATCTATGCACCTGGGCTCTCCTAAGAGCTCTTGCTTATCAGTATGCAGAGATCTCATGCACAAAATAGAGCTGAGGCCGCCATTGCTTTCCAGGCTCCTCTAAGGTTGATTGGAACCCTCTAGAGAAGGGGCCCACAGCTCACAGCAGGGGCCACTCAGACCTACCAGGAGCTTATCAGGTAAACGTACAAAAGGGAAAAGTTTAGCTGCCTAGACCATTCTAAAGACTTTTTTTTTTTTTTTTTTAAAGGCTGGTGTGAGGAAGAGATTGATTATTCTGTGGGCAGGGGTCATCCCAGGGAGAGGTTGCCAAGAAGTATTTGGCCCCTTCAGTCTCCCCTCTTTCCCTCTTATCAGCCAGAAATAGAAAGTAACTGCACCTTCAAGGGCAAAAGCCTGAAACAAGAAGAAAACACAGGAAAAAAGATTGCCGCTTTTGATGACCACAAGCCCCAAGGAAAAAACAAGAACTTGAAATTTTAGGCACTAAGCAAATGCCAATGTAGCAAACATAATACTAATCCTAAATTACTAACTGATTTAAAAACAAAAACAAAACCACTCTTAGCTATAAGGAGAGAAAATAAAAGGTAATTAAAGAATAAATATATATATATAAATATAACAAAGTTTTACAATTTGATCTCATTAGAAATCCAAAATGTATATGCTAAATTAGTATACTAAAGAATTTATATAACAAAAAGATAAAAAGGACACTTAAGATGGATCACTGTGATGTTAATGTCTCATTCATTGGGGCCCTCATACTCAATATCCAGTATTATTTAAATGACTAATTCTGTTCAATCAACAATGGGTAAATATTTTTCTCTTGTAGATTTAACTAGCACGTTCTGTTCAGTGCCTGTTTCAACAACCTCTTAGCAGCAGTTTGTCTCCACCTCAAAGTGACATAATACACCTTTTCCAGGCTTCCCATTGGGTACCTCAGCAGCTTTGCACATGTTCTTTGCAGACAAAATTTCAACGGCTTCCACCTTCTTCCAGAAACATAGATAAGACATTACATTGATGATATCCTCTAAGGAGAGTCATTTGATAGAATCATTTAGGATCTACAGGTCCAACAACTTTTAGTACTTCACGGGTTCTTATGGCAATAAGATATTGGATATTGAGTATGAGGGCCCCAATGGATGAGACATTAACATCACAGTGATGCATCTTAAGTGTCCTTTTTATCTTTTTGTTATATAAATTCTTTAGTATACTAATTTAGCATGTACATTTTGGATTCCTAATGGGATCAAATTGTAAAACTGTTTATATATATATATGTTCTTTAATTACCTTTTTTTTTCTCTCCTTATAGCTAAGAGTGGTTTTGTTTTTGTTTTTAAATCAGTAATTTAGGATTAGCACTATGTTTGCTACATTGGCATTTGCTTAGTGCCTAAAATTTAAAGTTATTATTCACAAGTTTTACTTCTGAATTAAAATCAACAGGCATTCCTGTTAGACTCCTCTAGATTCTTTAAATTAAAAAGACTGGCTTGCCTCTTGATCTCTGGACCACTTAGGATGGCCATAAGTTACCCAAGGACTTTCAATGTAAGAAACTGCTCCTCTTAGCCTCATTCTGTACTCTATTAAAACGACAAATAAAGTACATTCTGGGCTCTCTGGAAAATAGAGGTTCTCGGTGTGTGACCTTCCATAACCAGCTGCCTCTTAAACTTTGGGTCATGGAAGCAGCATCAGAAAGGCAACATGGCTACTGAGGCCTTTTAAACACAAGATGGAGCCAAACCTGAGCTCTCTGGCTCCACCAGCCGAAGGGTGTGACTCAGATGCCTTGGAGCTAGAAGATGCCACCCTTCCCCTAGCCCACCTGGCTACCTGGGAAATCACTTAGGATTAACTGAATGAACAGCAGTGGGAATACATAGACTATACACATCACAGTTCACCATCAGACATGTTGGAGCTCAGTGGAATAGTACTGATTTCCATCTCCTAGTCAGGATGCCCTTAATAAAGGATGGGAACCAAGAAACAACACACTTGGTCAAACTTCAGGCAGTCATCTTAGTGCTAGATTCCATGTCCAACAAGTAGCCCCATCTTCACG